AACAAACTATAATCACATGGATCACATAAAATACCCTAAAAAAGTAAGGTGTAAGGGACGATTTAAAAGCACCAAGGGATTCTGCATTCCTAATCTCAGAGGACCAGGGAATTCCACAATTTAGAAGCCAAAGAAAAAAAGCCAGATCACCCATAGTTTTAGGCGTGTTGTTTGGACAGTTAAAAGACCAGCTTCAGAAGAGCGTAGACCACGTGTAGGGGTGTATGGGATTAAAAGTTCACACAAATATTGAGGGGCCAAATTATGCAAGGCCTTATAAGTGAGCATGGGAATTTTAAAATCAATACGGAAACCAACAGGAAGCCAGTGCAATTTTTCCAGGATAAGTGTGATGTGCTCCCTTTCACTGGTCCTAGTCAGAATTCTAGCAGCTGAATTGTGTCCCAACTGTAATTTATGTAGGGAAGCTTAAGAAACTCCAGCCAACAAAGCATTACAATAATCAATATGTGAAAAAACAAAAGTATTGATTAACTTTTCAGCCACAGGGAAAGTCATCATAGAACGTAGTTTGGCAATATTTCTGAGATGAAAAAATGATGCTTTAACTGTGTTACGGACATGATGATCAAAGGTTCAATTGGAAGATTATGGACTCTGCTTTACAGTAAGCAACTGATGAGGTTAACCAATAAGCATCACTTCAGTCTTGTCATTGTTTAGACAGAGACAATTTTCAGACAACCATTCCTTAATCTCGGTAAAACATTGAGAAAGAAAAGACACAGGCATATTGACATCAGGTATTGAATGTATATAGATCTGAGTGTCATCTGCATCAAAGTGAAAGTTAAGATGTGTACTTAAAAGTTGGCCAAATGGAAAAATGTAAAAAGGGCCCAAAACTGTATCTCTGGGGAACACCAGATTGTACCACACCAACCTCAGACTTGCAATCACCCATCACAACAAACTGTTTGCGATCAGAGAGGTAGGACTTAAACCATTTTAATGCAGAATCAGAAACTCCAAAGACAGCGGGTGATTAAAATAGAGTGATCTAGTGTTAAAGCTGGCACTAAGATCAAGAAGAATCGGTATAGATAGACAGCCAGAATCAGAAGCCATCAGCCAAATCATTAGTAACTTTGACTAACGCTGTTTCAGTGCTGTGGATTTTACAAAATCCAGACTGAAATGGCTCAAAAGGTCATTAGAGGAAAGATGGGAAAGTAGTTGAGAAGCCACTGTATACATATTGCGCTATTCATCTCAAGGTTTAAAAACAAGCTCTCTCCTTAATTATCTTTTCTCACTTTGACGTGAACACATTCATATTCAGATTATGCCTGCCCCTTCTCTTTAAGCAGAGATAAATCGATGGATTACTTCTCCTTTTTCAAACTGTCTGTGCTTTGCAAAGTTTGCACAGAAGTTCAGCAAAGGTTTCCTATTTAAAACATCACTCCAACAGAGCCCACAGCTCTTGTTTCTAAGGTCATCGGCACTTTGCACCGATTTTTTTTTTAAATACCACAGAACAGGTAAAATGGTTCACAGAAGAAAGTTAAATAGAAAGATATTTACATTTAGAGGAAGAAAACAAAAAGAGTTCATGATGAAACTGACAGCTCATGCTAAGATCCATTTCGATGACAGTTGTAAGACAGCAGCTTTTCATGACTTGACTGTACTTTTTTTTTGTGGAAAACTGATTATTTACTTAAAAACATAAATGATGGGCCTCAAATCATGGGGTTTGGGAAAGACAGTTTTTTGATTGAACACTCAAGGGGATAAATTCCTTACAAATAAATTGCGCCATACCTTTGTCTGACGTTAAAGGCCATAGGCTGCACTTTTCTTGCACTAATCTCAAAAATGCATGAGTCTGTAGAAAAAAAGGCATGATGGTTTTCCTGTGTCAAAGGCAAATGTTCTTTTTAAAGGCTTTCACTTTTATTGATGTGATGGGTGCTGAACATAGCCAGCTGTTCACACCTTGTGTCTAAATGCAATTTATTGTAATTTTGCATTACATCACGGGTGAAGATTCTTGTATGTGTCTTTTTTTCCTCTAAAGTTATTTTTTTGCATCTCATGACCTCTTTGAGACACCTGAGAGCTCATGATTCAGGTATGAACAATGAAGCTTTGAGGAATTCAGCATTTGCCGACAGCTCGATGAGATCCCCCAGCTCACAGTACATGAGTTTTAACCACTAATTGACCTTATTCATTTAAAGTTAACCCTCTGATGCTCTTTTCTTGGAGGACAAAAATTACATATATATATATATATATATATATATATATACAGTATATATATCAATGAAATAAACAGTATATTTTAGATAATGTTTTTTATTTAATATTTTGTTTTTTTAGAGGATTATATGGTTGTAAGTTATATTTACGCTGTAGTTATAATCCATTTATTCATTTTTTGAGCATAGACCTGAAAAGTGTATTTTGCTAAGCCTAAATCTGAAATGCTGGAGAGCAACCTTAAGTTTGATCTCTTTTTCAAAGACGACACTTGGCAAATTATTGCTGAAGTGAAAAAAGTTTTCATTTTACGTTTATTGTAATGAAAAATGCACAAAAATATATTTTACATTTGTATATGAAACATATATTTTCAAAAACACATTTCACTCTAAAACTGTAAGTACGATTGTAACAGTAAGATTTTATTTGGCCGCAGTAAAAGTGTTCCCTAGATGAAATTTGTCTCCCATTCATTTCCAATTCTGTCATTTTTGTGTGGTTTTTGTTTGTTTGTTTTGCTCAATATTTGTATCTCTAAAAAGGCACACCATTTTAATCGTGGTAAAGTAATGTGTCAACCTAACAAACAAACAAAAAAAGTTCTTGGAATAAAAACTAAGGATAGAAAAACTGTAACAAGTTATCCAAAGCAACCTTCCTTCAAGGTAGGCCTATATATCTGTAATTCTTCCGTATAGCCTACATTGACCATGTATGAGTTTCCCTCCAAACCAGTGCAAACCTGGCCTGTAGCTGATTTAATTGGCCATCTCAATCACGCAGTCAAGAAAGTTCAGACTCTAATAAATCAATAAATCATGGATTAATCTGAGAAAAAAAATCACGCAGGTCATGCTCTGGTTTAGGCCTATATAAATAGAAGCTTTTCCCAGGAGTGTGAATGTTAAAATTACACAGTTTTTTTTAAATAAACTTTTTATTTATTTTATTTTTATTATTATGATTTTTTTTTTTCTGGACATGACTCGTGTGCTTAGGTTGATGACTGGCAAACAAAAGAATAATGCTCTGCTGCTATTTTATTATATATTCTCTAATGCTTTAAACAATATTGGCATGGTTGCTAGTGCAAATGAAAAATACACATTCAGACCTCAGATAGTAAATATTTCTAGAACCGTTTTTTTTTTACATTTTAAAAGCATTTCCACTATTCGCAATCAGCTATATTGACAATCAGGAAAATGAGTTGAGTTCGTGGGAACGTCACACTGTGTTGAATGGAACTTCGTCGCATAGCGACCAAGTAAACAGTTATTATGTGGACAGCAATGCCGCGGGTGAGGTGCTTTTCTTTTCTTCACTATTTTTGAGGATCCTCTCTGCGTTCTTAAGCTAGTATGAGAGGGTGACTTGTAAGTTTAGCAAAATGCCTCGCTGCTTATTTTGCGCCTCATAATTTAAGAGAACGTTTGTCTTATTTTTCCCGCTAGTCGACGAGCTTTTGCTAGCTGTTATGGTTACTGTTCTGATTCCGTCAGTTGTATGAGTTGCCATTGTTAAACAATTGTAGCAGCTACGCCATATCAACGACATTGATTCGCAAGTTCTGGTAAACTCTTTGTAGGGTAATCTCTGTGTTCATATCTCCGTGAGACGCAGACGCAGGTGTAAGATAAATGGACGCTGTAAAGTAAACTGCACAAGACTGGCTCAAAATGCTACAATCATGACACTTTTATGAGGCTGGTGACTATAAAAATCTTCTCAGCTTTACGAATTTAGCCCTGCTCATCAAATCATGTAATCATTATCATCACCATCATATCAATTTAATCTACCATTGTTATGGTACTCATAAATCACACGTTTATGACGCAACGTTCAATTTAACAACATGCAATCTTCTCATAAAATAGGATCTTGCTGTAAGACACAGTCTCAAATTCCCAGACTCTCCATATAAGTTAAATATCACAGACTTCAGCGCAGCTCTTGAACACACAGTTTAAGTGTAAAGGTTTGTTTGACCTGGAATGAAAGCAGTGATGTTTCATGGCCATTAGGGTTAGGGTCTATAGGAAAACCAAGTAAAAAATAAAATAGACAGACTAGGCTTATAATAATAATTAGGTTTTAAAGGTCTACCATTAGCATTGCCGTTCTCTCAGTAGCAGGTTGGTGAAGTAGTCCAGGCAAAGTAACTCATTTTAGAGCCAAAACTAATTGTAAAATATTTTTTCAGCTTAGATCATTGCTATTCAGTGTCCAGAACAACACACTAAAAGTCCTAAGAAAATCCTAGTTGAGGTAATATGTTTAATTCTCATCAATCCGAGATGTGTGTCAATAAGTACAACAATACACCCCAATGGGGCTATTTTTTCCTTTACTCCTATCAAAATGAAACTTAAGTATCCATGAAAAGTAAAACATTTAGTATTACAAGTTTCTATGAAAATGAATTTTAATATGCAAATGAGCTACACACTAATCGAATATGCCCAAAATACACCCAAATTGGCTTAATTCTTTCATTTACTCCTACCACAATAAAACTTTACAACGTAAAAGTATACATGAAAGTAACTTTTTTTGTATTACAAATTTCTTTTGAAATGAATTTGAATATGCATGTGAGCTCCATAGAATTAGTCTGTAAAACAATGGAAGTCTACTGTATAATTCTCAAATATTTCATTATAGTACTGTGGCTTTTTATTTAACAAGGGCTCTTAAATTTGAGAAATGTACTGATATTTATTATCTGCCTTCTTAACTGAGTTTGACAGCTCCATGTTCCTTAGGGATCTGGCTGTAAAGCAGAGAGCAGGAGACAGACTCTAGCAGCTGTGGCACTACAGGACCATATCATACGAAACACTCCTATTCAAAACATTCCCCATAACCTCCCCGTATCAGACACTTCATGTCATGCTGGTTGTGGAGCTTCACACGTTAGTAGGAGGCACAAAGACCACAACACAAGGCAGAGAGTCAGATATCCTGAGCGAACACCAGGACAAGACTCAGAGAGAGAGTATGTGCTGGATCATGCCCCTCCACCTCTGACTCTTGGTATGCTGTGATTATGGTGCTTCATGCTGAAATTTTGCTGAAAGCTCTCAGTGACTAATATGCAGTTGTTGATGATGATGCAGCGCAGAGGATGGGTCTGGTGCCAGCTCCTTCAAGAAGACTAACAGCAGAGGAGTGGGCAGAGGTCAAAACCAGGTCCATCCAGGAGGGAGACTCAACCCAACCCTGTGTGATATGCAGGGAGGAGTTTCGTCTGCAACCACAGGTAACTGCACTCACGGGACAAGAGCAGAATGAGGTGTGGCAACTTGGCTTCCCATAGTATGTAAAAAAAAAATAATAATAATAAAAAACATTTATATATATATATATACCGGATATGAGAGACTGCCTATTTTCATGAATTACTGATGGTAACAGAGGGTTATTTCAGAGAACAGTACATTTTAAACTATCAGCCATTTCAACTGAAAGATGAAGGCTGTTAAATGCACATCATGGTAACAGGTCAAAATCAGCTCTTCTAATTTATTTTACAGATAATGAGTTAATGGCTACTGCCTTACATGTTTGACTATTTGTGTGACTAGTGCAACTAGGTTCACATAATCAGTTACAATAATATATCTACTGCATCTTACAGACTATGCATCTTGGGACTCAGTATTTATTGGAATGTTTCCCAAAATGTGTATTTTAATTTTTTGGGTAATCGAAATATTTTGGATTCCTTATCTTTTCGATCAATATAAGTAAATAAATGCAATTTGTGAACAAATTAAGCAATACATTTATTTTATTTTTAAAAGTGTTTGTTTCCACCAGCAATTTCCACTACAGCAAGGTCATTTTTCCATAACTTATGCTTATCCTTGCACTCACACTCATTCTCATACACACACGCACACTCATTCTCTCTTTCTCTCTCTCTCTCTCTCTCTCTCTCTCTCTCTCACACACACACACACACACACACACATATTCTCATACATACACTGCTGAAAACAAATAGAAAAGGATTATACTTTAAAGATTTCTTATCCTGCAGATCCCTCTAGTGGACAACATTAATGAAAGCATCCATGTCTATAGCCTTTGAACGTTTAGACTCAATAATAAGTATTGACAAATTGCTTAGTCTAATATTGGCCATATGGAGTGCAAGTAGGTTTTCAGTGTATCCAAATACATTATCAATTGCTGTTTATGCTGAATGTTATACTATCAGAATCATTATTGTGTGTCTCACAGTTATTTTTGGTCACTGAAGTTTCAATCAGGCTACTTGATGACATTCTCTGCTCAGACAAGTTAATTTTTCTTTCACTTGCCCCTTAAAAAATCTCATTGTAACATAACCAGAAGTGTAACTTATTTAGATGAATAAGATGATTGACTTTACCTGCTTCTGTACATCAAAATAAGAAATAATACTAAACTTCTAGCTTCACCTTGGTCATGTGGTAGGCTTTTTTGGGTGAGTGGGGGAAGGGCGAAGATAAGCCAGTGACATCACTATATGACGAACACTGTCCCAATAAATATTGTTTACTTTCACTGACATATTGCTCTGCAATTTTAATATTTATTCTAATATTCTAATATTTGCTTTGATAGCCTATATTTACATTTTAATAGCAATTTATTCCACAATCAAGTCTGTTGTTAAGATGATCTTGGAGATGTTACTTACAACTAAAATGTCAACCATATAAAAATTCAATAAAAAGCTTTTAACATAATAAAAAAAAACATTTATATAATTAACATCTTCAATATATTGTGCTGATTTGGTTATTTACATGCATGCAAGTTTTGTCTCCTGAAATCACTGCAATTTATTCAATAGCCTAACATTACACCTGTCAGAATGTGCGATTCAAAAATTAAAGTTTGCTTTCTTATTATGCTTGGAGATTCTCACAACTACACTTCAGCTGTCATCTGGGGTGGCAAAGCTATTTTAATCTTGTGGCCACCCCCCTGATTTAGCCTGTGTTTAGTGGGGGAGTCCAAACAAAATTTGACCAAATCTTAATATGTCAGCACTATACAACCAAAGAATTTGAGCTTTTAATGAGATTGTATATCATTGCTATATATGTTATTATATTTTCAATTAAATGTCAGCCTTTCATGAAAATGACTTTTGGCTGAACTCATGCACTAGGGAATCTACCGGTATATTGCATACTTTAAAGATTACAGAAATACAACAAGCTCTGATTCATACATGAATAACACATGAATATTCTAATTCATGTGTTTCTATAACCTAAAGAATATGTGTGAATATATTAGTAGATCTAATATTCTAAATTTTGTGGAACAGTAACAGTGAAGGTGTTAATGTATGATCTTATATAAAATATATATAATTTTGTTTGAGTACAGGGCTGTGGGGTACTCACTGGCAGTAGAATTTAGTTGCAATTTAGCTTGGTTCGTTTTAAAAATGTATATTATATTAGGTCTTAGAAAGAAGTGCAAGAACTTCTCACTGGTGATGACCCCCCCAAAAAACTAGGTGCATCACACCCTTAATTCAAAATATCTTCTTTTGTATTCCAGAAGAAAGTAAGTCATACAAGTTTGGAACAACATGAGGGTGATTCAATTATGAATTTTAATTTCCTGGTGAACTATCCCTAGTTTAAGGAACAAATAAAGTATGAAGACAAATATGCAAATAGACTCAAGGCAGCAAAATATATTTCTCTGTTTTATGCAGAAATGTAATGTATTGCAATTGTTGGAAAGAAATGAGCAGTCTTGATTGTACCTGAGAGGACTTTTGATTAGTCCACCCCCAAAAATTAAAATGATCCTATAATTCACTGACCCTTAAGCCATAGGTGTATATGACTTTCTTCTTTCAGCCAAACACAATTGAAGTTGTATAAGGGGTCATGAACTGGCTTTTTAAATTTTACGTATTATATTGTTGTCTGAGGTCAACTTATGACATTCAAAAACATTAAAATGAGTAAGTAATAGGCTGTTTTGTACCCAAGTTTTGAGCTTACCTGAAAACCTGGGTTTTTATGGGCATCTCGCACTGAAGACTTGAAAGTAAAGGCCCACTGCTGTGAGCGGATAACAGTTTTGCATATTGCATATATGAGTTTCAACTCATCCGTTGATGCACTTGGAGGAAATTCTTTTGAAAACGTCCAATGTTGGAAAATGGCAACCAGAATGATTCGCCCCAGAGTCCTTGATGTGTTGCAGAATTCCTGTCAGATCCAATATAGACGGCACAGCACCGTTCTTTACTCTTAATCGGTCTGCAAATCCAGTCTTGTTTACAAAACAATCCTCAGTGAAATGAAGCGAACAGACGGATGATGTTTTACCCTCATCAGCTGGAACGTCATGAAAAATAAAGTTTATCCATGCAGTCCTATTGGAATCTAGAGAAAGCTTATGCAGCGACTGTCTTCTTCCACAACCAGGCACTGCACAATATTTTGTATCGCTCGCTCGGTAGCTCGATCCGGTTTGTCATCGCGAGGTAGGCATCTACGTTATTTAGTTATGCGTGTAATGCGCGAATCGGTGGGCGGGGCTAAACTGGCCGTGTTGAAGTAGGCGTTGATCTTCTTCTGCGGGGGTGGTGTTTTATCCTCTTTGACGTCATAGTTTCCCACTTTGAAAAACAAGTCGTTTTCAGAGGCTGGTGTCAATAAAAGCTTTTATTGGACTAACAAGGACGTTTTCAGTTCTGAAACTTACAGGATATTCTTATAATATAGGATGACCTCTTATGTTACGTTTACACCGGACGCGAATAGCGCGTCAAATTTGTGTCTACCACGTCTAGTTTGACGCTTGACCACTTTGAACCCAATCGCACGTCAAGAGCGAAATTCTGACGCGCATGACGTGCGTCAGAATCGAAATCCGTTGGCGGCCGTTTTTTTATGTCGACCGAGCATTCATCGAGAGAGTCACTGCTCTGTATTTACTTTGGAGAGCAGAACAGCAGTGTGGGGATCATCGTCGCCGTATTTGTGTCCACCAGACCCTTCGGAGGCGAACCGTTTGTCGATTTTCACCATTTGCTCGCTCCAGGAGCTGCGCCTGGGTGACGGCCGCTGTCAGCGGTACTTCCGCCTGTCCCGCGCCCAGTTTGATGACCTATTGTCCCACATGGGAGCGAGGATCACCCTCGCCCTCATCCATCTAATCTGTAATTTATTTTTGTTTTGATGATAAAAAGAGCCAGCCTCCAAAAGTTATTAACCTGTCCTGTGATTTTTTTTCTCTCTCACGTCCAGACAAGAACTTATGCACATATGTTGGTTGTCTTTACATCATAATAATTTCATATAATCTAAATATTGAATAAATAACATTCAATACAAAATGAGCATGTCTCGTATATTGAAATAAAGTTTGAAGTGATAAAATATTTGCTTTGTTGTGCATTAGAACCACGCGCATTTAGTCATATTACAAAATAATTTATTGAAGCATCCAGATCCTTCACCACGTGAGCAAGCAGCAGGCTCCTGATTGGTTAACGCGGCGCGAATTTGACGGCAAAATTCAGATTTTTCAACTCGGGCAGCAGACACGAATTTGCGTCAAACACGTGAATGCACAAATAGCACAACTAAATCATTGCGCTTCATGTGAAGAAAAAAATGGTTGAACAAAGCAATATCTTTGTCATAGTATCCTTTCAATGGTTAAGGGGATTTGACTGGGACAGCGCTGGACAATGTCTCACTGAAGTGAAGCGTCAGATTCAGCTTCACCCCGAGACACTTTGCTTGTCAGTTGCGCTTTATAAGGTGTTTTTTAAAGTTAAAATAATGCTTTGTTCCAGAATGAATCAATGTTTTTTAATGAATGGTTTAACTCCCTCTTTAAGTCCCTTGCCACCACTGGTCGCTAATCAGGCAGTTTCTCAATAGAAAAATGTAATGATTATTTATTCATCATTTATTATTTTATATATAATAGCCATTCTAAAATATATATTATTAAATAAGTTGAAACTTGTATTTTCGATAGCTTATATCTGTAATTTGTAAATGTATATAAATGGAATCAAATCCTTAAAAAACATATTTATACTGCAAACAAGTCATTAGATTAGATTATTTACAATGAAATGCTTTACTGCTTTACTTCTTACAAATGACATCTTATGTTTTCTTCTGTTATTACATCTTGTATAAGAAGTTTATGCCCACTCTTTGTATTGCTCTTCTATGCAAAGAAACTTCTGGGGCTTTGTTAATGTTACCAGTGTTGCCACCCAGTCATTGCATATAGCCACTACACTTTATTTATACCATTTTGCTTTATATATCCTCCTAGCTGGCGTTTCCAGAATAACCTTGCCACCTTGTTCAGTTCATTATCATGCAGTATTTATTGAGAACTCTTTTCAGCCTTCTACATTCTCACAGTCCATAAAGCACTGTTTTATGGCTGAGTTTAATATAGATATAACAGTGAACAATATACAACACATGCTGCATTTGGGAAAATATCATACTAGAGTCGCTGCTTAAAATAGTCAGGACAGCATATTTAATGAATTTTCTTGTGTTGTTTGTATAGGTCCTGCTATCCTGTTCCCATGTATTTCACAAAGTAAGTCACCACTGATCCTTCCAGCATCTTGAACTGTCATGTAGCTTTAATAACACCTTATGGGAATCACTCTGAGTTGGTGATTAGTCCATTTGTGCCACTAATTTCAGGTGTGTCTGAAGTCTTTTGAGAAGTTCTCAGGCAGGAAGAGCTGCCCGATGTGCAGGAAGGAGCAGTATGAGACAAGGGTGATCTATGATGGTGCTCGGCTCTATCGAGAAAAGTGTGCTCTCAGGTAAAGATGTAGAAGTTCATGAGGTTTGACAATCTACATTCATCTAAATAGCTCCCAGGTCTTAAAAAAAAAAACGTTTTCTTGTGTTTCAAAAATCTCAGAATACAGGCTTTCTGGCGTGGCTACCATGTTCGCAAATGGTACAGCAACATAAGGAAGCACGTGCCTCCGAAAGACCAACAATTAAGACGAAGATTCTTTGAAAATAAGGTAACATTAATTGAGATATTTCGACATTGCTGATTGACAATTTGACACTCTTCAATACAACAGCATTTTTTACGTTGATCAATTCGATTATTGTATCCACATATTTACACTTTTCTGGTTCGTCTGTAATTTTGGAATTTGTTATTGATCCAAATCCAAATAATTCTTGCTAATTCATTTAGTACACGATTTGTGAGGATAGATATTAAGGAAAAAAGAAGTCCTTTCCTGTTATTTTCCGTGGCAGTTTTATGCACCCTTTGACCCTTCAGAGCGCAGGACACTGATAGCAGGTGAAAGTGGTTAGAGGCTGTTGGTCAGGGACCTCACTGAGATAGACATCTGTTCTTGCAGCCCCTTATTATCCCACAGCCCAGGGAAAGCAAAGGTTGCCATCTAGTGAGGCAGCAACTGTCAAGTCTTGGTTACGGCTCTGGAGCTGACAGCTGGATTACAAGTCAAAGCAATACAAGCCATATTCTGAAACTGCTTTGAGGAACAGAGTGTTCTTATTTAAAAGTATTCCGATTCTGTTACCCCTGTGACTGTGTTGTATACCTTTGGGGAATGCCAAATATGTTTGAAAATGTACTCTACGTTTTTTTTTTTTTTTTTTTTTACATTTATTTGCTACTAGGGAGCGTTCAATTGTGATTGCTAAAAAAGTAATATCCAAATGCTATCTCAGTTTGTAGTGGCGGGAATGGTAGTCAGAAGGTAAAATTACTTTATATATATATTCATTTAGCAAACAGCTTATACAAAGCTCACTAAATATTTTTTTAAAAGAAAGCTAAAAACATTTTATTTTCATAAATTGGGTATCGTATTTTATCCTAGTTATAATTATGTTATTTTTACGCTTTCATGTGAAGTAATTGGTGCTTATTGTGATTTTGTAAAGCCTGTTGAGCTGTCTTGTGTGGCAGGTGTTATACAATTAAAGTTATTATTATTACAAATATATCAACTTTCAATGTTTTCAAGATATACATTTGAAAATGTTTTGTATCCCCTAGAAATTAGACCCATAATCTTGGTATTGCTAGTGCTATGATATAGCTAACATTGGCAAAATATTATGTGGATATATTATATTTGCCATGTTTCTTGTGAATGAGTTAATAGTATATGAGTGCTTGTCTGTGTTTCTTTAGACCTTTGGCTCACCAGGAAGCAGTTAACCAGCTAAACAATATGGAACAAAAGAGAGAAAGAATGTAGTATGCTTATCACTTGCTTTTAGATTTAGGTTTTCAATCAACTAGTCGCTCTTTTTTTTCTTCTTCAGGTACCTCACTAAGTCAACATATTAGAAAGTTAAATTGGTGACATTAAGATTGATTGTACCTGCCCTCTCTTTTCCCTGAATGTGAAGAGGCAGAGTTCACATTGCCAAGTGTTGTTTGTCCTTCTTTAAGAAGGTCTACGTTTGAACTCTGTGGAATGCTTAACGTCTGTTTAATAACTGATCAAATACGGCTATAAAGAAACCACTGATGTCATTCGGTGCAATAGCCGCCACAGGATGTGTGTGTGTACCTGTGCATGCTTAATCTTGCAGGTCAATTTCTGGGATTGTCCAAAAAGTTTCCTTCATACATCCATTAATATTGCTATTGATCTGGCTGTTAACATCCTTTCATTGTCGGTGCAAGATTCAGAATTGATTTATGTTATGATGGAACATCAGTTTGCCTTGTCAAGTCTGACCAAAAGACATTTTCGTGTCATTTATTTCCTTAATCAGTTTCAGGAGATGAACGACAGCTTGGTGCAGTCATGCAGCACAGACGTGGAAGCGTTCCTAAACGATATCGATCGATCGGTGGCCATGAGCCACGACATCCTGCGCTGCTTCGACAACAAGTACACGAGTGTTTCTGTAATGGAGGATAAAGACTGGCTGGAAGCTCAAGAGAAGGTTAGGAATAATGCCGCTGCTCCTTCACCTACACATGCAGACGGAGACCGAAATACCAGTTGTACCTTTATAAAAGAGCAGCTCATCAATGCCTCTAATCCCTCTCTGCAGTCGCTCCTCGGTCCTGCCCTTAGCCCGACATGCCGCCACCTGTCCCAGAACGCTCGAGCCGCACTGGCAGCACAGATGTTCCAATTCAACAGTATCAAACCCTCCGCGAGATGATTGTTTACCTTGTTAATGAATGAGCAGAAATAATCCACTGTGTTTACTAAAAAACACAAGCTGTGTGGATAATGCATGCCTAGCCTTTCATTACATGCGAGCTGAAGAAAAGATTTGGCATTTCAGTGGGCCTCATTGTTATTGTGTCGAGGCAGAAAAAAAAGAAAATGCTCATTTTTTAATCTTGCGGATGAGGGGTCGGGAGATAACTCGAGACTCAAACCTAGAGTTAGCAGAGTTCAAGTCAGAACCAATCTATTCCCACCCAGACAAACAGAACGAACGATTATGAAACGTTCTTGTGCGAAGCAACTGGCCTTCGCTTAATAAAGGAAGCTGACAGTCGGTTAATGATTATGGCTGCACACCTACCTTCTGTTAGACTCAACTGTGATACGAGCTGCACACAGCGGTCATAAAACTGCTAATCATTCCCCCCTGATAATGTAACAGGAAAACACTCTCACGGAACGAGGCGTGTGTCTGTTCATGACTGTGACACTGAACATCAGCATTTCAGAGGCCTAGAAAGCAAATGATTCGCTTGGTAACTAAAGGGAATAATAGAAGAATATAGTTTGATAATGAAATACTAAATAACATTATTATACTGCCGGTCAAACGATTGGAATCATTTAAAAAAATTAAAAATGCTATTGAAAGGAGTCTCTTTCAGCTTACAAAGGCTGCATTTCAATAATACAGTAAAAACAGGCATACTGTGAGATATTATTTCAATTTTAAAGTATTTTAAAATGTCATTTTTGTTGTGATAAAGCTGAATTCTCAGCATCATCACTCAAGACTTCAGTGTCACATGATCCTTCAGAAATCAGTCAATTTGCTGCTCAAGAAACATTTCTTATTTTCGAAGTTGAAAATAGTGCCGATTATTAATTTGGAAACCATGATACACTTCCATTCAAAATGTTAAGCAGTAAAAACTGCGTTCAACATTGAAAATATTAAGAACCATTAGTAATAACTGAGTACCATTAGTAATTGATATTAATTGGGCAGAAAATCAGCGTATCAGAATGATTTCTGAAGGATCATATGACATTGGTGTTTGGAGTAATGATGATGAAAAATACAGCTGTCACCACAGGAATAAATTATATTTTAAAATATATTAAAATAGAAAACTGTTATTTTTTTATTACTACTCTTACTGCATTTGTAATCAGCTTTGGTGACCATAAGATACTTTGTTCAAAAATATTTTAAAAAGTTATTATTCCAAACTGAACTAGTGTATAGATATTTGTCCCACAGTTAGAGGACATCTAAAACACGTGGTGCTGTCAGTTTCATTAATTCTTAAGTGATTGTCGGTTTGAATTTTCAGCTGCTAATAAAAAAATATGTAAAGGGTTATAGGTCAAATGGCATTTGATCAATACATGCATAACAGCAACTTTTGATCATCTTTGTTTCTGAATAGCAACTGATTCAGTTGCACTTACTAATTGCTGGTGTCAGTGTCACAGTGGTTTCTTGTCAGCATAAATCGTGTATTTTGAATGGTTATAGTCTCTTAAACGTCAAGAATTGTCTCTGATACCACATTTTATGGGTAGTGGACAATTAATTTTCAATCCTATTAGACAATTGGTTAAATTTGCAAATGGATACTGGGTGATATATATGATGTCGTTGACATTTTAGCACCTTCTTGAAAGTAACTGGATGGGTATATATGCATTATCAGTGTAATTCTCACATAAATCATTCGCAGACAGCATTACTGTTTGTTCTCACATACTTAGTCTGATGTCTCACTGATTATGTTTTCCACTGGGAAGCTCTTTCCTGGTACTGAAATGACTTTTGAATGACACAATCTCTTAAAAATTGACATTACAATTGATTATTTTTCTTTGTTCCACTAGGCTGTCCAGCGAGGCGTTCAGGACTGCCCCATTTGCCTGAACCGCTTGAGCTCACACAACGGCTCATCGAAGGAAGACAGAAACGTCCTATTATTGTCCTGTTCCCATCTCTTCCACAAACCATGTCTGCAGGCCTTTGAGCTTTTCTGCCAGGAGGTGAAACCCAAATGTCCCCTCTGCCGGTCACACTACACTAAAATGCTTGTTTCGAATTGAAGCTTGCTATATTTATTACATAGTCCTAATGTTTCAGTGTATTTACTTAAAGAGACTATTTAAACTTCCCCCACATCAGTTATAATGTGAATTTGTGGTTCTACATTATGATACAGTCCAAAAAACAAAACAAAAAGTGTCAAAACCACAAACTTTATTGTAAAACTGAAATTAAATACAAAGTAACCTAAAGATAATCTGAACATTTTGCTTCACAAACATATGCAATTAACAATGAAAAAAAAAAAAAAAAACACATTCTGAAAATACATTCACACACACGTAAAAGAATCAACAGGCAAAAACAGAATAAATCTTTCCCTTAGAGCTGAAAATGAGACCAGACATTGCACACCATAGACATTTAACCTATGATGAACGAACAAGTTGTTTCGGAAACGCTGTCTGTCAGTTTGACAGATTGATGAACCAAAAATACCACCGCATCCTTGACGTAGCGTGTAGTTTTGTAGCTCAACAATGTCGTACAGAAGATGGGATTGAGGATGGGAAAGAGAGACGAACAACTGAAGCAGAAAAACAGAGTATGGAATGAATAGGCTTCGTTTTCTTTCACAGTTAATTCTAGTACATCACTGCAAATGCCTCTATTTTGAGAAACCCAACACACCAACTAACACACAAATCCTTGTGCTGCATAAAGTAGGACCAGGTGTGAAGCCTGGCACAACAACATCCCTCAAAATGCCAATTAAACTAAGAGTAGAAGTAACAAACGAGTAGAATTTTGCATCTTGTCCAGACACTATTGACAGTTAATGACACGTTCTGGCATTACAAACTTTGTGCAGACAAAAATGATACAAACACACACACACATAAAAAAAAGCTTACTTAAATGACACAATTATTGACGACATACATTTATTCCCCAGACATTTTCTTACAAAATATTATTTGTGCAAATCAACAGGAGGAAAAGGTATTTTACGTGAAACTTTGTTAAATCCATGACAATAAAAATACAAAAACAATGCATCGTATTGAACCACAGAACCCACTGAGGTGTCAATTTTAAATGACCATTTCACAGGCTTTGAATTCAGGGTCCCTCATTTGAATCCTTCAACTTTCCACAAAATACAATATATTTCTTAAAATGTTTCCTGCCCAAACATTAATATTCCATATCAGAGCCCTGACAGGTTATTTTGCCTTTGGCCAGTTTGCGTTAAAAAGACCAACCCAGTCGTTTTGGTATGCCATGTAATTGACTAGAGGGATTCACAGTGAATTAGTCAATAAAAAGTTACACACACACACACACACACACACACACACAGACACTAACTAGGGATGCACCGTCATGAAAATTTGGCCGAAATTTGAAAGCTGATAGCAGATATATTGACTGATAAATCGAAACCTAAATCCACATTATTTTTATATAGAATTCTTGAAAGCCTGTTTACAAAAACAAAAGTCTAACCATTAAAAGCCATGTCCCAAGCATTTCAACATAAAGTAGCAGTTGCCTAGTTTGAACCAGTGTAAGTTTTAAAATTCATTTACACTCCTATGGTCAAATTTCTTTATCCAAAAACAAACACACACAAAAAATACAGCCATACAAAATGAATAAAATAATGCCTAAATAATGCAAACTAGTCATTGGACAACATTACTTGGGTATAAAGTATAAAAATGCATGTGCCATGGATAAATAAAATGGAATAGCCAATGCACAGACAATAATGAAATGATTTTAATTAAACCATATTTTTGATGAAAATAATGCAAGGAAAAACAAAAGTGCTAGTTATTATTAATAATGCATCAATGTTTTTGAAAATCAAACATCTAAAATTAAAGCTGCAGTCTGTAGCTTTTTTGGGGATAAAAATTATCCAAAATACGTATTTGAGAAAATACATAACCAGCCAGTGTTTAAAACTATCTGCTTGCCTTTGCTTGATTTTGTGTGATACGCGATTTACTGCAATATCATAACCAGAACAAAATTGGATGTTACTTACTAGTTCAGATGATATTTTCCGGAGAAAATTATGTTGGTCATATTTCCAAAAAGAATAATTTGTAATTCTGAATGCCAGTCTCGACTACGGCGCGGTGACTGACAGCTGTACATTCTCCTCAAACATTGTGTTCATCCACGCTGTGCCGTGTCGCACTACAACTCACGTAAAGTTGATAACTCTCCAATTGAATGACTAATGACTGCAATTGCAGATTCCGAACAGAGTTGGCGACAAAGAGGAAAAATGCGGACTGCAGCTTTAATATTTTAGTTTCAAAAAATTTCTTTTTGAGCTGCGTGTGCTGAAGCTGAATGAACACCAGGAAACTAAAGCGCTTTGTTAGCAGTCTTATTAATTCAACCAAACATCCTACATAAGATTAATCAGATATTTATGCTACATAAACATAATATTACAACTTATATCTGCACAAAATGATGCAAATGCACAAGTGAACATGAACTAAGTTATGTGCTAGTATGAATGTGTAACTCCTGTTGTGGACACGCTCTACCCACAACGACAAGATTAAACATGGCAACTAAACCCAATTAATTCACAACATGTATTTACAATACGTGTTCTCATTATAATGTTATGTAATATGACAGTCCCAGTCATAGTTATTAATGTCATGCATTGCTACATGTGCTGAAGCTGAAGATGATCACCGGCACGCTTTACTAACTCCTTAATTCTTTAGCAAATGCACCCTATGTGAGATAAATACACAAAATAAACGTATTACAACTTATAATTGCACAAACCAAAAGACTGCGGATGCACAAGCAAACTTATAGTCATGATGGAGGTGTAACTGTACTGTGCATTGTTACCGTTTTCTGTAACAATACAATAAAACATGGGCGTACAAAGAATTTCCAACATTCTTTCAGTTTTGTTCACTTCTTATTATAATTCTATGTAGCCTATATGACAGACTTGGGCTGCATATGTTGCACTTAACTGTGTCCTTTTTAAAGTGATTCCAATCATATTTCAAGGGATTCACCCCATCATGACAAACAGTGCGCATCTGAAGCGTCTCAGCTGAAGGAAATAATATATTATTTATCAGCTTTAATCGGCTAAAATTTCTTATCAGGTCGACAACAATAACATTAAAAAGGATCATATATCGGCCGATACCAACATGGTGGCTGATATATCGTGCATCCCTAACAGTCTCTCACTCTTTCACTCATTTACACATCTCACAGCTCGTCTCCTCAATACCGGACAACAGGAGACGAAAACGGAAAAAAAGCCAAGAAAGCCTGTTTAAGGCATCAGAGGTGATTTTTTTTTTTTTTTTTTTTACAATAAACAAATGCTGAGAGACTAATTGTCAGGCCTTTTCCACAAAAAGCATAGTATGAATGAGGCTCAAGAGCCTGTTTCATATCTACATTCTACAAAAATAAAAAGAGAAATATACCGTATATACATGTAAATACATCATTTACATTAGTATGAGGCTTGTCACAGTTAAAGAGACAAACAATGAAGAGTAAACAGGATGTTTATGCAGCTTTACATCAAATGTTCTTTTTATGGTTTACACGTTCTTTTTAGCCTGTTGGTTTTGTCCTCAGAATGGGAATGTTTGGAAACTATACAGAACATATTGTACAATAAATGCGTGACTAGTAACATTTCAACAAAGTTCAAATTAAAGCAATTAAAAAGTCTCTATGACACTGTATTTCATTGCCCTTCAATAAGCCGTGCTGCTTTCTACCATCTCAGCTCGGACCTCACATTCATTTCACCGAAATAAAAAAGCTTTATTAGGCATAACCGACTGATGTGGCTCTCTGCAGTCCTATGAGGAGAAGATCCTCTAATGTCAGAGTGTCACCTCTAATCTGTATATGCCAGTAATTCACAAGACCAAACAGGCCGAAAATCCAGCAGGAGAGCGAGTGGAAAAACATAATAATCTGCCATTTGCAAAAAGCAAAGCAGCCTCAGAGGTACAACCTGGATGTTTGAAGGCCGTTTTGCTAGTGATGCTGAAATAAGGCAAACAAGCTCTGCAGCGATAACCAAGTTTAAAGGATGCATGTTACTGGTTATATGCTCTCCCAACAAGGGGAAAAAGCCCCCATCACTTTGTGTACTACATGTAGAATAGCATAGTATCAAAGGTTTTGGAGGAAGTAGTATCAGATTTAACAACAGGAATCTTAAATCCCAAGATTGTGCCTCATCTTCCCCCAAAATATTTCATGCATTTTTACTACTATAACAACAGAGAAGCATCTCTCTGCTGTCATGTCATTTTTGTTCATTTCCTCCCTAATTCTAGACTATGGTACACTACAATCCATTAAATGTGTTAAATAATTGACCGAGAGTGACTGGCAGGTCGCAACATTCCTAAACACAATCTGCCGCAACCAATTCAAGTAAAGAGAACAAGATATTAAGCTGGTTGTTGGTAGTGACTCGAACCCATAGAGTCCACTTCTGAACTTTGTCTACCGATTGAAACAAGAGCAGTTGCAGTGCAAAAAGAAATTTGGCAGATAGGATTCTCCACTGGTAATTACATTCCACTACCACCCAGAATATGCCAACATTTTGAGTAAGGCACATGTTTGGGGACTTTCCTTGTCAATTCCCATTACTTAATTCTGTCACATCCAACAAACCTGAATTGTCACAGTTACAGCATGAGGAAACAAATCATAATGCTTCCTCGTTTATAATTGATCATCTAATAAATAAGAATTGATCATGTATGCTTAACTGAATGTAAACACGTTCAATGGCAGACACAGAATAACAAAACTTTACACGTCAAGCAAGGCGAATTGGACCAATTCTGACAAATCAAACTTTCAGAATATTGGGCGATCACATTTTGCTTGTATATTATCATGAACTGATTTTGTAATGAGTGGCATTTTAATAAGAACCAGTCAATTTGGTATTAAAATATTTGAAACAATATAAATGTTAAGTAATACTGTAGCAATTTCTTTCCCAGTGCCAAACTTCAAAGCTCTGCAATTCTTAATGTGATATAGTTCAATATTAGCTCTAAGATTACATGTAATAATGTATCATGGCGCCTTCAGTCAATATCAAAAAAGTTTATATTTCATGTGTGTGCTGTTTTTACGTGAACTGCTCTTGAAGCCTAAACCTCTTTCATATAACTTAACAAAATACTGTTCAAAAAATCTGATCTGGACACAAAATCGACAATAATTCAGGAGGAAAGTGACATGCCCTAAATGAGACTAATTCAATCAGCTTGGCAAACAGCTTAATATTTCCAGTAATCAAAGAAAAAGTATTGATGATGATAATAATAATAATACCCCATTGAAGGGTGCAGTCGAGAGGCCTTTTAGATGTGCAGGTCAGCACGGAAATAACATTTTCTCACCTGAAATGAAAGCATTTACAAGCTGAATAACAAACATTGAACAAAATTAAATCATTGTGAATCTCAGACTGGTTTCAACGGCATGTACAACTATATAGATTAACTGCTCACATGAGGTGATGGACATATTCCACACGTCTGGTAAACTCTTGACACTAGAAGCATCTCACGGTAATAGCTTTTCTCAATTATCCCCTTTCTTTTTCTAGTTTTTGGTGCTTCCTGACTGTATACCGCTATATTCTTAAAATGAAAAAGCCAACTGTATACACATACGTGTGTTTGTGTGAGAATGTCTCGATGATTTTTCTATCACAAAGTTTTCTGATGCCCGTTGACAGCATGTTTCCCTGACTCTGTTTCCGCCGTACTGTTTGACAGATTCAATTTATCCAGACCTGAAACCAAAGAAAAAAAAAGAATTTGAAAGACTCAGATTTGATCTCTTCTCTCACTCTCTCTAGCATTTCAAACCCCAAAACTACAGTAACCTATGCACCATCAATCGGTGGATTGCTCTGAATACAAATAGACAGAGACATGAGTCCAATAAAAGAGATGTAGAGAACAGGAATATAGAAAAAAATGTAGAAAACACAATTAAAAAGTAATTGTTGGTTTAACTTAACCTGGGGGCCTTAAAATTGAGTTCATTGAAATAAAAAAAATTGAGTTAATACAAAGAAGATTGATTTAAAATCACCAGAAACTCAAAATATTATGTTATCTGAACCACATTAATTATCTAAGTTGATTTGACAAAGGTAAAAAAGTTTTTTTTTTCTTCTTTACAGTGCAGGAATGATGGAAATGTAATGCAGAAAGAAATTTGGAGGTTAAACTAAGATGTAAGAAGTCGTAATAGAATGAAGTCAGGCAGAATACATTACCAAGTGCTTTGAGAAGTTCCTCTCGCACGGCAGATGTGAATTTTCGGACCAGACACAATGTGGTTACCACAGCAAACAGAAGGTTATATGAAAGTACGATGTAAAAATTTCCAAGCCAATTAAATCGTCCGAAATCACCCAGGAGATCAAACCTTGTTATTCCTGCAGAAAGTGAGAGACAGAAAAATGGTTCTCAGATTCACTAGTTTTTACTCTACAATACCACCTCTTTCCTATAATCAACAAAAGGACTGCAGAACAGACAATTTTGCATTCACTCTCTCTTAATAATCCTACACCAAACAAACCAATATTTACAAACTAAAGATTCATTACTTTTTTTTTTTTTACAACCCCCAATTCTCAAATTATTTTTATTTTCTCTGAATTAATGCAATAATATAATGAAATATATGTTCGACGATAGTTTATTTGAGTTGGAGATTCTTTAAAGGATTTGCCATTTTAAACTCACGGTCAATGTAAAGCATGAATAAAAGGATTGAAAAAAGGGGAACATGTATGATTGGAAAGAAAGGACTGAAAGAGCAGGTGAGGGCTTAAGATGAAGACGTGATAAAAAGGAGGCAATTCTGAAAGACACAGAGGACTACAACTCCATCTTAATCAGATAACAACACCTAACATAAGTCTGCCATTTACCATCTGCTGACATATTACAGAATGAAGTTTGTTTATTGTTCATCACACAAACTGATTGAGAATAACACATTCTTTTTGAAACAAAAAGGACAAGTAAACTGCTGTTTTATACGATTAAATTATCCATAGCCACAGGGTGCATGTGCACATTCAAAAGACATGTATCGGTGCAATTTAAATTTGAGTATTACGTTGCCAAGTTGCCAAACAAGTGTTTGCTTAACTTATTACTAATGAATTCAGCATGTTAACTCAGATTACACCTTTATCACATTAGACTGCAAACATGATAAAATAAGGCAAAACAACAAAAAACTATGTTTTTATAATAAAAATTACTAAATATTTTAAAGAGATTAGTTTTACAAAATTATTTAAGCTCATGAAAAGACAAGGTTTTCCTGCACAGGATTTTGTTTTTCATAGAAATAACATATTGAATATACTTGTATGTTTCTTTTTCTAATTTCCAACCAAATTCATTCCATTCAATCTGCCTTCCTTCTTTTTCCTCCACGTAAATGCATCATGGCTTTTCCTATTGGGCATGATTCTTTTTTTCTCCTCTCTCTCCAGCTTTTGGGTGCTTCTTTAAATTCCATTATAACTCAACTTTTTATGGACTATCTCTAAATAAAACATTGCGCACAACAGGCTGACTCCTGAGGATAACTTAAAACAACTTCAATGTTTCACTTTCCAAATATAAAGCATCATCAGAAATAGTATAAGTTGAAAATGGTAAAACGGGGACAAGTTTTCATCCCTGGGCAAACATATGTATTTTTAAAACTGTAGTTTTCAGACTGACCAACGGTATAGACATACAAACCAACAACCTGATAACAAATTGTAGAAAATGAAAAGTATTCATAAATTATAATTAATTCATCTTTTTATTTTTGTCTATCCATTTTTTCCCTTCCCTAGGATTTCCAGCTTGATAAAACCCTTTTAGGTTTTTCGTCCATTCCTAAAAGGAGGGAAAAGACTGCTGGAGGTACTATAAACAAATAAATGAGATTTTATTAAAAGGGCTTTTCCAGACTTAATTACCAGTTGGGCAATGACCAATTTCTACACTTTAAACTGCATGTTTAAAGGCAACTGTAAAGATAATCACATTTAAAATTATAAACAGGATTTATCCAATTATTTGAATAAGCACTTAGAAATGGATATGTTGATTTGCTGTAGAAGTAAACTTATTCTCAAAAGGTTTTTCTTACATGCATGTTTTTTGGCTGCAGTCACATTCCTACCATTATCCTCAATTAGATGAATTGCATACAATCTAATAATACCTGTAGTCCATCACAAAATTTCAGCTGACGTGTTTTGGCCGAAAAAGCTATTTTCGGTTTCAGGCCGAAATGGTTTTGAGGGTCCGAAATCAGTGTCCAAACCAGACATTTAGTGCTTAGTGCTATAGTATTAGTGCTAATAGTGCATCTCCAATGGCAGGTTTTGACTGTTCAGCGTCTGTTGCGTGTACACAACGTGGATAAGCTATAACCGTTAAACATGTCAGCTGTCAGATCATTAGCTCTGGGTAGATAATATTCATTTCTTGATTTTAATTGGTAATGATATGTTTTCTTAAATCATTTATTTTTTTCGAATGTGCTGTTTTCTGTTGACGCGTGAACAAAACTTCACTAAACATTTGTAGCCGGCCTGCCATTGAATAATTGCAAAAGGCTCTGTGATTTGTTACTTTTAATATGAAGCAAAGCCTCAACTTAAAAATTCTGTTGATTTTATTACAAATTCAAGCAATAAACATTGTTTTGGCACTCTTTACTACAGTGTGATCGATCACTGCACTGTAGCTGCAGCACAGATCAAGCGCACGTGAAGCGATCATCTTATCTGCTCTTCACTACTAGTTACAGCACGAAACAAACAGAACAGAACACCAGAAGGTATGCTGATACATTACATGAGACAGGATTCATTTTTGTATATTGTAATTACCTGGGGAAATAAAACAGCTTGTAGGCTATACAATGACACTTAAAGGGTTAGTTCACCCAAAAATGAAAATTCTGTCAGTATTTACTCACCCTCATGTTGTTCCAAACCTCTATGTCTTTATTTGTTCTGCTCAACACAAAGGAAGATATTTGGAAGAATGTTTTGAAACAAACAGATCCCATTCCCCATTGACTACCAATGGGGAATGGGATCTGTTTGATTAAAACATTCTTCCAAATATCTTCCTTTGTGTTGAGCAGAACAAATAAACACATAGAGGTTTGGAACAACATGAGGGTGAGTAAATACTGACAGAATTTTCATTTTTGGGTGAACTAACCCTTTAATGTTACATTTACCTTAAAGCTAGGGTATACGATTTCAAAGATTGTTCATTATTAATATCCTCGTTTAGATGCTGTTTATGGTTATATAGTATAATCCTAACAATATAAATAGAAAAAAGAACGAAAAAAATCCATTCACTCTATTGGCTGTACAGCCACGTAAAAGTTGACCAATGGAAGCTTTGCGAGCGCAAAGCTACATTGGTCAACTGCTCTCAACCAATCACCAGCTACACTTGAAACTCCGCCTGGAGCTCGCGTCTCCACCCCGACCGCGCCCGACCGCGCCCCCCTTCTGCGTCATGAGAATCGCGCACGTTAGCAGGTGACCGCACATGGTAGCTAAGTAGCACATCAGACAGCAATGGATAACAACGAAAAATACATCAGCAAGCGTCCCCTGCTTGCCCCTACAAGAAAGTTAGGACAGAAGAGAAAGTCGTTTGAGGAAAAAGCAGAGACGAAAAGAAAATGTGAAGAACGCCGAAAGTTGAGTAGGATAAATATAGGGTTCACCATTGACCGATGGAGGAAACTTCAGCGAGATCTGGGACTGAATACCGACGCTGACACGGCTGACTTTTTGTTGAGCAGGTAAACATTTATTTGTACTCTTATATGGTGTGACGTGTTACATAAATAGCTTTTTATCAGTCTGAAAACTTGCTAATGCTGCCGGTCGGCATTGGAATGTTAGCTGTTTAGCATCACCTGTATCACGGTTCAAAGTAAATAAATATATTTCTTGAAGTGCTTGAATATATTGCAGTATGTCTAGCGGGTTTCTGTTCGAGAATCAGACATTGCACAGAGTACATCTCAGTTCCGATGATGACAACTTGATTGAGTGACGTTGTTCAAATCGTTTCCCTGTGGGAGGTATCAGGTAGCAGAGGGGAGGGGGGTGTGTGTGGAGAGGCGGGATGAGTTTTTCAAAACTTCCCTCCCGTTTCAGGCTCTCTCGACCGATTTTCAACATCGTATAGCCTACTACAGCTAGGGGTGTCCATGGTTAACCGATTAACCGTTTAAAATTCCATAACCGAGTGAAACCTTTTTGCTCGGTTAAGTGGCGTCAAAGCATATTTGCACAAAACTTTTGCGTTTTTTTTCTGATTGTCGATAAAAAAAAAATATTGCGAACGGTGTTATGCGACTAAAACATTTTTTTTTTCCTTTCGCGATAAGCCATTCCAAAAATGATGGCAACGGACGTTGGTAGGCTATATCACAGCCACCGCACTAGACATTATTATTATTTATGGAAGGAGACGTGGTGTGTCATCCAAGCATTAATGGCAGGGACAGTCACAGAGTTTCTGTGTGTTTCTCCCTCATTTCTGCTCCGCGGTCTTGATTGTGGCATTTCTGTGAGGTTTTGTCTAGTAGGCTATTCCTTGTATCTTTTATGAATTTTAAAAAAAGAACTCTGCCTCGTATTATGTCCAAACGGTCTACTTTTGTGTTCATTCGTTTCCCCTTATTTAATCCGTTGGCCTAATTGCAAAATGAAAAATGAACGGTTGTTGTATTTTGTAAATAGCAAAGTTGAACACCAAAATGTTCATTTGAACTGTAGGCTTATACACCAAATGCTGCGCAAAAATATATAGGTTATATTTGCCCCTTAAACATTTAAAATATTTGACAAATTAATATGAAAAAAAGATTTTACTGGTTTTCTGAGGCCAAATTAGAACCTGGAAATGATAATTTCCCCCGCAATGCTGAATGAGAAGAGCCGTAACCACAGCCTGCAGAAATGGTATTTATAAGTGATTTATATAGGCTATAATAAATGTGTCTGATAATAAAATAATATAAAATAACGAGGCATTAATTATTTATTAATAAACTATTGTTTTCTAAATCATTTTCGGCTAAAAACAATTCTCCATCTCCGGATGCACATTTAGAGAGAAATTAATTAGCTACATAATTACATAGTCAGAAGATATTGCCCTTCGATTAGAATTTGTTTGTTTTAAATTGGACATTTAAAGCTTTGATCTACAAACGATATATAACCCCTGTAGACTAAAGCTTTACATGTCCAATTTAAAACGAACAAATCCGAATGCGGCTGTTTCAGTTCTCGCGCTTCAGTTCGCGGAGATCATGAAGCGCGCCTGAATGTTAAAGAACGTTTTCTTGTTATTGTGAGTTTACGCAAATAAATGTATTTGTGAATAATGCATTATTATTTTCTGTATGACCAGAAATGAAAGAGTATTTTAAGTTGTTTGTTTCCACTGAAAGAACTGCAAGTGTTCACATGGGCGTCTCGCAGCCATAATGCTCGCTTCACACACACACTGGATATGCGTCAAAAATATTGTTTATTTGTGCTTTGTTCCTTTTTTTTTGGATAAAGGCGTCTTCTCCATAATATGCAGCCTAATAAAATGTTACAATAATAATGATTATTATTATTATTTGCGGACACGGAGTTAATGTGCTTATTTTCAATTGGCAATTTCATTTTGAAGGGTGATGGAAACGCACCTACTTTTAACTGCTCTGTACTTACCACTGCGTTTTATTTCTATAAATTAATTTCGTTTCAAATGGGGTCCAACCAGTTATTAAAGGTGTTAAAAATGAACTCTGTATCTCGAGGTTGCGGCGCGCACATGGTTGACCGAGTATTAACCGATAAGGGCCTCGGTTAACGGTTAATGAAAAACTTGAAAACGTGCAGCCCTAACTACAGCTTTAACAAAACTAATCTAATAAGTTCATAAACTCATTAGTTAGCTAGAAAAAAATAACTCTAGAGAAGAGCATTTTGCTAAATATATCCACTTGAATTACATTTTCATTATATTTTACTTAACCTGTTAGTGACGTCTTCATTATTTAATGTATGTTTGATTTAGTCTGTCATGAAAACAAGTTATTACACTTATTGTCGTTTAAATGTTTATATTTCACCAACAGACTGGAGTTAAAAAGTTGAAATAAAATCTCCCTTATGTGCAATTTAAATGTTTCAGTTTTCGCTATTTGATTGTTTATTATTAAATAAGTTTGATTAATTGATTATTCATTTATTTTTGGTTTCAGTTTAAGGCCAAGTGCATCTTGAATTTTCAGTTTCCATTTCAGCCAAGAATTTTCATTTCGGTGCATCCCTAGTCTACAACTATAGTCATTGACGATCACGTTGAATTAAAACAATTGCATAAATCTTTAGGTGAACTGCACTTTCTCACTCATGTGTAAATGATTTATTTAGCAAAGGCCTCCTTTTTTTGGAAACCCCTAGTAATGACCTAAAATAAAGAAATCCAAGTAACTTACTCCTTCACAAGATTAAAAAGAAATCAAGAGTTAAATATCTAGACTATAAAAAGTGTTGAAGTGAGAGTTGTAAAATGTCTGTGTAAAAATCAGTGCCATAAGGCAGTTTGCCTTTCCCACATTTGCAACAGGCTCCTGAAGTCTGCTTATGTACACACACACACACACACACACACACACACACACACACACACACACAAAGGACTTTCATCTTCCATCCACATGCATGATGTTTTTGAGTCTATTTGATAGTAAATGAGTATTAATTTGTCTGTTTGAGACTCTATAGCTGCTTTTCCACTGTTGGGCTAAACCGTTCTCTTTGCTTAACCGTTCCATTGTGTGCCGATCAGGGTCAGCCGGCACGGATGTGGTTTCATTTTCTACTGTGGTGATAACGGCCACTCTTTGGAATGTAATACAAATGTGTCAGTCTTTGCCTTGGCTATTTACTGATGATATGAGAAGTAAATCTACTGCGTTATGGAGGATGATCAGATATTTCTTTAAATTGTATTATTAATTTGTGTTTACATCACTCAAATAGCGTGTTTAGCCAGCTACAGAGAAACTGGTAGCCAGGCAACAGACAAGTGACCAATCCTGAGTGGTGATGTCACTCACTACACGTATTCTAGCAGCACGGTTCGGCATGGTTAGCCAACTATGCTGAGAATCCCGGGCTCAGAACGGTTTGTAATCATGCCGTGCTGTACTGGGCTTAACTGGAACCGTTCCTTATACTTATATGAACAAAGTTGATGAAATTCTTTGGGCAAAAAAAAAAAAAAAAAAAAACCTACTCTATGCAACCTCTCCTTTCATCTATTCAATGCAGCACACCAGAAATGTTGATATTTTTCTGAAGCTCCCAATGAGTCACTGTACTCACTCTCTAACACACACAAGGCTATTTGAACAGCTGCCTGTAGCTTTCCACGTTGTTTATTGCAGCTATTGTGACGGCTGCTTGTCTGTCCTTTTTCTCGCTTCATTCTTGTGTAAAATCTCTATGGCAAATCCTGCTGGAATGTTACTTGTTAAATCTTACAGTGGAAACGAGTTTGTAGGTACGTGTAAGTTGCATGTCAGTGCAGCTGGATAATGTAGAACAATTGTAGTATCCAAAAACAAACAAACAAACATTGCATGGCATGTTAATGGCAACCCCAAGAAATACACAGATGTTTATGAAGGATAGTGTATGCATGCATGCAAGGAGGACCTTACCAAGTGTTCGGGACATGACAGGCAAGGCCGAGCTCAGCACTAGAATAGATACACAGCAACCGATGATCTACAAGAAAAGGAAGAGAAAAAAAAAAGTCTAAGAAACATTTCCATCATTCCAAATTAAATATAAAATGACAAAATATTCTATAATCAATGGCTTTGGTCAAAAAAAAAATGTAATTAAATATAATATAAATTGTAAGTTTAAAGTTTATTTTAAGGTGTCAATGGTTACAGTGTAATTATACATTTAAGTACAAAATATTATAATGCAATAAAAGATTCTATAATCAATGGCTTTGGTCAAAAAAATATAATTAAATAATAATAATATAAATTCTAAGTTTAAAATTTATTTTAAGGTGTCATTGTAACAGTGTAATTATACATTTAAGTACAAAATATTAATGCAATAATTAGGAGATTAGGTTATTTTTTCCATTCAGATGTTAAATAATTTATTCAGGTATTTATTTACATTTTTTAAAGAATAACATGAACAATGAACTGTTTGTGAATATTTTCCCATCTGACTAAGTGTCAACAGGCCATAAAACTGAAGCAGTGTTGCAGATCCTACCGTTGTCATGGTAGTGTCGTCCTTTCTGGGAGTGAGCTCCTGAAAGATGCGAAGGCTATAGAAGCCAACCACAGATGAGACCATCAGATAACTGTTCAAGAGTTAAGACTAACACAGAGGTTTCTCGTCAAGCCCTTTACTAGCATTTCACTCAAAAACACACTCACAACAATCATAAGCAAACAACTTGAGTCCCTTCACTAAACACACACAATCTGTGATCAAACACTAGACTACAGCTCATGCATAATTTGGGAAATCACACACAGCAAAGGATACAACATGAGAATAATTTCAATAACTGCCTGGGCAACTCCGAACGTGGATAAAGAGGTATTGCCGATATCTCTCTCCTGCAAAAACAAAGAGTGAAAGTTACGGTCAAAGGTTATTTTAATAACCATAATTATTTCCCCAGATAAAGTTTGGTTTCAGAACATAAGTTTTTTTGTATGACTCTCATAAGCGCCAGTTTATGTTCTGGACTGAGGCAGTACTCTTACACGGAGAAACTGCATGTAGTGGACGTGTTTTAGCGACATGCCCAACGCAAAGGCTCCTGTTACAACTGAAGCTGTTAATCTAAATAAGACTACAGTGTTGACACCTCAGTGCTTCAGGCGGTGTGGGCAGAAAAAAGCGGCACAAATATTTGGAGCTCTTCTGAGTGAACGCTATTATGAAGAAATAAAACGTATAAAGCTCAGATTAGCGAAGTTTCCCCTCTCACCAATGAGGACAGACAGAGTGAAATTGGCGAAGAAATGAATGGAAGCAGATGAAAGAAATCTTTTTAAATTCACCGCAGCTCACACACGCATAATATGCGAGCAGGTGTTCAAACAAAAAAAAAAAAAGAAAAAAAAAGAGAAAAGAATGAAAAAGCAGTGGCGCTCTTAAAGTAAGAGGCTGCATTGAAAGAATGGCTGCCAAAAATTAGGAGAAAAATGTGGAAAAAAGAAACAAATGCGTTGGCAAACAACGTTGTTCAAAAACATGCCTTTAATATCTTTTGAAGTCATTGATGTAATCAAAAGGTTTGGATTAGAATTATTACAATAAAAGCCAACATTTATTTGACATAATTTATCAATGTAAAACAGTCTTAGTCTGGGCTTGACGAGTAAAATAAATTATATAAAAATCAAAATAAAAATCAATCATCAGTGTCATTCTAATGATGTGCACTTGACATTAGACCAATTCAAAATCAACAGAGCATGTAAAAATATTTATGATCTTTTTAACTGGAGTCAGTCTTGCTTTGTTAATACTGATGTCAGGAAAGAAAAAAGTTTACATGTGATTAAAAAAACAGAGACGCTTAACTGAACACTGACTTGTAAAACATTAATCAAACGCTCACTTTATATTACTGAATCATCCAAGAAAGTAAGCTTGTAGTTAATGTGAGATTGAGACAAAAATAAGTAATGTGATCAAACATAAACCCACAACCCATTCTCACTGTTTCCGAGGAGAACTACAGTATGAGAGCTGGGAATTATAATTATAATATTGTGTGTGTATATTTATATAGCATGTAGTAGCTACACAATTAATCATTAAAAGATCGCAATCTCGATTCAAATCCTATATGACAATGATTCAGCCATGTCTATTAAATGTTTGACAAGTACGATCACAGCGAACACCAAAGTCTGCGTCGGGGCTGCCGCTGAGCCAGAGAGAGCAGTTGTCATGTAGGCTATAGGTATGAAACAGATTCACAAACAGTGGTTTCAATCACACTACTAGGCCTTCCTGGTGGAAGAGATTTTGTATCTCAATGGAACCTTCCTGGTTCAATAGATAAAAGTACTGGGATAAAACAAAGTCTATAGTTGGGATATATGTCTACGGTAGTGATCAAAATAAAAGTAAATCACCTTTTGAAAGTAAATTGGCGCTTCAAATTGTATCAATAACATTCTTTCAATTACACACCAGTAGTTGGCGACAACAAGTGACTGACAAAAAATAATTTATTGAATCATTCATTCAAAAACACTGATTCATCCAGTATTGGAACAAGTGAAGTCTTTATGATTGAGCTATTGAATCATTCAGTCAAACCAACTTTGTTTTAATAGACTGCAGCAATAAACATGTTCTCAGACCCTCTAGTAAATGTTTTGTTTAGTTGTCTGTTCAGAATCATGAGCTCTATTTTAACCAAAAAAACAAAACAAAAAAATCTTAATTTCCAATTCATCCAGAATCGTGCCTCTCTAGTATGACTGTTCAAAAATTCAACAGCATTTATTAATCGAGGTTAATGCAATATTATATATACATATGTAGTACACGCATACAGTTTCACTCCACATGCATCTATGACTGTCATTCAACTTCTAACCATAAACCGACTGACATTATTGAACTGGACAGGCATCTGAAATCGCCTTTCACACCGTGTCCTAACTACACGCGCCGCGACGCCGCGACACGCGATAAAAGGTATCTTTTCCACGTTAATCAGAGTTTTTGTCCTAACCAGACGCGACGGCGACACGCAAAGTTTCTAATTCAGAAACGGTTCCTATTTCTGCGACGTCGCGGCTGACGGAATGAAGAAATGAATGAAGTGATGAAGTAAAGTGTCCGCTCATAACACGCTGTTCTGAATGTGTGGCATCTCACAGTCACGTCGCGTCTAGTGTGGACAGACACACTTGTTGTCGCTGGAATTTTATCGCGTCGCGTGTAGTTAGGACACGGTGTTATGCTCAGAGCTGTGTCAGGTGTTTGTTGGCGCTGCTTAACACCTGTGATTGAGTGAGTTTAAGGATATCTGTGTGTTAACCTTCCTTCAGGTGTGTCTAACTACACTACATGTTTTGATGTGCCTCAGCTACCTCTCAGAAAAAAACAAAAAAACAAATCATGATTACCTTTTTTTACATTCTCTCTTTTTCAGAAAGCTGTTTGATGACAGGTTAGGGGCTAAATGCCATCTGTCGACTCTTATCAAAGGTTCAGAGGTCAAAAAGAGAAATATGATATCCCCTTGCTTTCCCGCTCATCTTGTTTCATTTCATCACTCCTTCTGCTCCGTATGACGTGTGAGATATGAGTTCGGATGAGAAACGGACATTAATGAGGCTGTTTTTAGCATCGACAATAATTCTGAATCTGTGGGGACTGACAGCAATAAGACTTTTATGGCAGTCATTAGCAACAGTGCATCAGACAGCTTAATGCAAGCAGTGCCATTGCATTAGATCTCCTTACCTCATAGCCACATTTACGACACCCTGCCTTATCTGACGGTCTCGGCGTTAACCTAGTTACATTAACTCGCATCAATCTCTCTTAAGATAGTTGCGGAATGCTGTCCCACACCCCACTACATCCCGGCCCGACGTAAAAACCATCAAACAGACGTAGAGACACCACTGCTGGGTTGTCGTGGTTACACGAGATCATAAGCATGGCACCAGTCCAGCTCATCAAACGCATAAACCATTAAACCAGCCTGTCAAGAGGGCCCTTCGTCTCTGAACACTGTGACAAGTGTAATTTGGGGGATTTTCAGTCAAGCATCATGCCAAGGCAAATATCGACACTAATAAAATAATTAGAATGTGAAGCGGGCACTCTAATAGAGAAGCTCAACACTGTCAAACCGTGGCCAGAAAAGGGATCTGCCTTTCCTTTGTTGTGGGAAGAAAAAGGAAAATGTGCAAAGCAAGGACAGCAGGTGGGAGTGGTGAAGTAAGGTGAGATAAGAGCATCATTGTATGGAGGGAAGGAAAGAGTAAGAACAAAATGTGCATTAAAAACCAAAAAAAAAAAAAAAAACAGGAAATGACGTAACAGTTCCCATGGACCTATTAAAGCATTTACCTGTCCAAGCTCAAATGAGTGGTAAACTGACTTGGACCCAAGTTTAACCAGCCGTAGCTTGTAATTACCTTGTCAAAAGAGAAAAATGACACTGTCTTCTCAAAGTGCATAACTGCTCAAAGGTTAAATGATGGTTTCATTGCAGCAGTTTGGCTGAAAAGACTTCGGCTAAGTACTCAAAACACCCAGTTAAAACAAATGAGGTCTATGTGAAGAGTTTCACACACGTACAGTGCGTGAGTGCCTTTGAATTGACATCAAGCAGAGCGAACGGGAGCACAACTCTGATAAAGAGCATCAAACAGCAGCGACATGATACACATCTCGACCGGCCTTTTCTTCTACAACACACACCTGAGCATATCAGGAAATCAGTTTGTGTCAACGCAAAGCATGACTTTACCAGGACACAGCAGTAGTGAGAGGCGGCGGCAACAAGTGAAGTAAAAATCCAGAAAAGCCGAGTATCGGTTTGTTGACTAGCATTTGTCTTACCGTTGAACCCTTTGGCATAGCCGTCTCATCAACGAGCAAGTACACAATGTTCAGAGCAACCAGGAGAACAGAAATTGCCTGCAAGCAGAACAGATTAAAAGAAGCACATCCATTATAAACAGCAAAAAGAAACATAAAAGAAACTCATAAAATAAACTGCATCAAGTCAAATGCTTTGTGGTTCAACCATGCAAAATCTAAAACACATACCGTTCCAGCGAGAAGGATCAGCATCACTATGGGGTACAGGAGGTTCTTTTCCCAGGCTGAGGCCTTCTTTCTCCTCTCTAGGATGGAGGGATGAGAGAAACGATTTTAGTGCACATATATCTGACTGATTGAACATACTTGACATAATTAAACTTATTGTCAAAGTGTCACATATAAAACGCTACATTCACAATGTCAGTTTTTGGAATTGACAACTTACAAGTGCAAGTCTCGAAATGTCCTGTTCACACAGAAACTTACAGTAGCGTCTTGAATACTGTCTGTATGGGAATCAAGCCTGTATTCTCTTACATGGTAATATCAAAGATGGCTTCGTCCATTAAACTGAATAGTCTTATCACTCTTGACACGACAAGAGTTTAATTGATTCATCCATCAAATCTTTATTAACCGACAGCAGCTTTTATATCTGGGTGGACAAACAGTGATTGGATCTAAACCTTGATGACACACAGCTCATATCTCCACCGCTCTCAGTGACCAATAAAACACACGGTACGGTAGACATGCATTTTTAGAGCGGCTCTCTCGCAGACAACTAGTTGTCCAGTATGGTTCAGTTCACACAGCGCAGATTTTCCAAGAATGCAGTGGGGAGGCCTGAAAATTTACGTGTGAGAGTTCGGTTATAGAATGTGGTTGTCACTACCGTAAATAACAGTTCTGTGTGTGAATGTAACCGTATTAAGGACTCAAATACAGCACTGACAACCGTATTCTGTTTCTGTGTGAATGTGGCCATATACTACTGTTCGAAAGTTTGGGATAAAAAAAGGATGCATTTATCAAAAGTGAGAGTTAAAGGGGTGATGAACTGAGAAATCAAATTTTCCTTGAGCTTTTGACATCTAGGTCATCATATTATAAGAACTGAAAACGTCCTTGTTAGTCCAATAAAAGCTTTTATTGACACCAGCCTCTGAAAACGACTCGTTTTTAAAAGTGGGAAACTATGACGAAGGGGTTAAAACACTACCCCCGCAGAAGAAGATCAACGCCTACTTCAACACGGCCGGTTTAGCCCCACCCACCGATTCGCGCATTACACGCATAACTAAGTAGCCTAACATACATGCCTACCTCGTGATGACAAACCGGATCGTCCCACTAAGCAATACAGAATATTGTACAGTGTCTGGTTGTGGAAGAAGACAGTCGCTGCATAAGCTTCCTCTCGATTCCAATAGGACTTCATGGATAAACTTTATTTTTAATGACGTTCCAGCTGATGAGGGTAAAACATCGTCGTCGCTTCATTTCACTGAGGATTGTTTTGTAAACAAGACTGGATTTTAAGACGATTAAGAGTAAAGAATGGTGCTGTGCCATCTATATTGGATCTGACAGGAATTGTGCAACAAACGGAGTCTTGTTTGAACATGTATGGGCGAATCCGGTTGCCATTTGACAACATTGGACGTTTTCCCCCACGAGTGAAACTCATTATAATATGCAAAACTGTTATCCACTCACAGCAGTGGGCGTTTATCTCCAAGTCTTCAGTGCGACACGCCCATAAAAACTGACCGTTTTTCAGGAAGGCTCACAACTTGGGTACAAAATAGCCTATCACTTATTCATTTTGATGTTTTTGAATGCAAAAACCAAGCGAACGTCATAAGTTGACCTCAGAAAACAATATAATAACATTTTAAAAGCCAGTTCATGACCCCTTTAAGACATTTAAATGTTTTTGATCAAATAAATGTAGCCTTGATGAACTTAATTAAAAAATATTTATCATATATTGACCTCTAACTTTTGATTGGTAGTGTATAAGAACTAACTGTAGCTTCTATGACAATCTAGTGTGTAGAGATAACGGCTACCAGTTATTTCTGGGTTTACTGAATTATGGCTACATATAAGCATGTCTGTAGTTCAGAGATTCGGGTGTAGTTCAGAACAGTGATGGAAAACCTCAAACATTAAGGCTTCTCCAGCTCCACTCGTGAAGTGGTCTAGAATAGAACATCTCTCTATCTCAGTGTCTGTCACTCCCGTGCCGCTCTGTCCTCTACTCTCTCCTTCTCAACATCTCCTGCTCTGATTCTGCTCTGGCTCTGGGGTTGGCTGGGTTCCCTGCATATGCACCATGCTGCCTCTAAATTAATGACCGCACTTGGAGAGACAGCCACAATAAAGTTTGCATCACACTCCAATATCCTAAGTGCCTTTGTGGCCTCCTCTCCTTCCAACTGCTCGTCTCTCTGGAATCATTTATAATACCCCAAAACACAAGCTGACGTCGAAAATGGTACAGCCATACCCCATCTGGCCCCACTCCAAATGACTGTTCACATTCAAATATACACACACTTTGCAATTCAACATTATTATGAGTGGATATTGCAGCCTACACATATTTTAAACTGACAGTTCATAATCATGGTTCAATTTAGTTTAATACAATGTTGTTAAAAAACATCTCTCACCAAGTTTGTTCCTCTGATTGCGAATGTTGTCCAGCTCTTTGTAGAGGTGGTGCTGAGAGTTTCCATGGAAATAAGAGTTTGACATCGTACCTGAGTGACAGAAGACAAAGATGCTTTCATTCTGTTAACCTTGGCTTATTAATAGCTTCTGTAAAAAAACAATCATTAGCGATGTGAACATAAATCAGTGGTTTCAACATTATCTTTTCCTTTACTCAAGTACATAATTAATATGATCACCATTTGTCAGAAAGTCTGTCGAGAAAGAACAGCATTCATGGAGTGGAGATTCAATAGAGAACGCACAAGAAGGGAGCAAAATCGCCTTTTTGTAATACCCTAACGTTTGTCACCACACTTCAGCATTATTGTATATATTAGAACATTTCTATTAAATGTTCTATTTTGCTTCGCTAATTTAATAAAATCTCATGAGCACCACACAACAGCAATCTCAAATGTGGTTAACAGTGCTGGAAAACAATGCTTTGAAAAGTTAATTATAGCTTTAAAAAAGTGAGTAATTACATTAAATCATTATATTTCATGGAAAGGAACACATTTGACACTTTTAGGTCACTTTTTTAATAGACATTTTTTTAACTTCTGGAGAGAAATAGCACAGACACTGGTCAAAGATTCTAGTGCGCATGCGTCAAATCGCCTATGCATCCGGCTGGACGCAAATGCAGCGTTCGCGTCAGAACTGAGGTATACGTTGGGTCTAGGCCAGACGTGTGCATGCTGCGACTCGTTCGGACGGAAGAGGGGACTGAGGTTTCTTCAAAACACTGACTGTGTGTGTGTCAGGAGGTGAGAGTGAGAGGGCAAAACCAGAGAGGGGTTCTCCAGGAAAACCACAGACTTCTGTCTCATGATTTTGCTCTCTCTCTCTCTCTTTTTTTTCTGTTTCAGTGGTTCGTTTGCTCCTCAAAGCAAAGGATTGGTTTGCACAGCCTCGGGGGACACACTGGCAGATCAGCAGCAATTAGTTCAGTGTTACACCGTTACTGGCGTGCAATAAAAACACAATCTTTCATCTTTTCACCGACATGGGGCTGAGAAGTCAATCACTTTGATCAAAACGTGATTATTATTGTGATGATTATACCTCGCCCTGTCTGGTAGAGGTTCAGGTTCATAAAGAAATCTATTAAAAGAAAAAAAAAAAAAAAAAAAAAGGAAAAACACAACAGGTGGGTTCCTGATCGTGTACTTGTCCACACCAGTGATTTTTAGGGAAAATCTGTACCCTCCAACCAAAACTGTGAAAACAATGAAATAGGAAGTGCCACTTTTAGCTGATCAGGACCAGATTGTTCAGTCTTTTTTGTCAAACTCTTTTTTTGAGTTTGCTAAAATCAGCATTAGTCAATCATTTCCAAAAAGAAGATTAGTAAACACTTGACTAAATTCTTGCTTAAAGCCCTTCAATTAAGGTGATAAAGGTGCTGGTCAGCAGCAACTCAGTAGAGGGATGCTGGCAGAAGGAAAGGAGATGATGTCATTGTTTTCTAAAGAAACTTCAGCCGGTTCTGCATTACGTCAGTGGTAATTATGCAAAGCAGAGAGCCATCCGGTACCAAGGAGAGTTTATGCAAGGTCACCCTGCCACTGCGCATCTGGGCAACAGAGAAAAGCATAGCAAGAGCCAAGACAGAGGACAAACAAATGCCTGCAATTATATGAAAGGATACATTGCATAAACACAAGTGCACTAATGCACACATAGGAATATACACACACAACTACATGAATGCAATTCAAAATAATACTTAGACACCAAATGGAGTGATCTGTATTGATAGCCTCAAGTTAAGGACAGTAAAGTTGACATCAGATACAGATTACTGGATCAATGGAATAATTAACACGCTTATCAATTAGCCCATATCAAAGGCCTGCATGAGAACGTGTGCAGGCATGTATAGTATCTAAATGAAGTTACAGTCAGTTGGGTAATTGTTATTAGATAGAACACAGATAAGAGAGTAAAGCAAAGTAGACAGTTTCCTCTTGAACTCTCTCACCCCCAACCTCACCTAAGGTTTTTATTTACGGTGCAAAAGAAGAAAAGAATGAAAATTCCTTAAATTCCTGATAAGGTAAATTCGTTCTCTCTTAAACGCCTGAGCGAGATCTTCCTATAACGCAGAGTTCTTATGCTTTGCCAAAATTGCATTCCGCATCCTAGTGGCCTTTTGTCACCCGATCACAGTGACTGCCACTGCGGTTCACATCAAACAACAATCACAAAAAGAGCGAATATCGTTAAGACCGATTACAATTATTTTATCAGGTGTTCAAAGCAAATCTGCCATTGGTGCTAACACTACAGAACCAAACAACCAAATGAGAGGCTATTGAAATTCATCCATGGGATTTGGCCAACTGGGTACTATCAGTTAAGATGATCTAGCTTACCTCCGTGAATTCAATAGAAAAAGCACATGTTCTATGTTGACTGGCATCTGTACACTCTGTTGCGTGCTTGAGTTGAAGCTAAAGTCTAGTTTGGATTTAAGCCTAAACACTTCCTGCATTGTGTGGATGTTTGTGTAGGGCAGCAGTCGGGAACCTACGGTTCGCGAGGCACACCTGGCTCGTTGACAAAACTCACCAGATCTGGCACCCTTAACCAATAAATGACCGATAGACGCATCAATAGAGATTTTGCTATTAGATGTTAATATCCCATATAGGATATACATAAAGTTCATTCCTAATTCTTTTTTTATGTTCTGAATATATATATATATAAAAAAATATTTATAAATTTCACTGTATATATAGTCTAAACTATGAAAAAAATGTATGTACATTAACACATTTCTGAATTAAACACAACAATACGCCATCGCATTCGCGACGCTCCTATGATTTAAAGCGACACTTCCGGTTTTCTTCGCATCGGAGCCATTTCAAAATGACGGCTGCGTGAAATCAGCGTATTACAACAAAAGCAGGTCAATGAAGGAAGATAGTTATATATTTAATTTAATCCTTTCTTTTAAACAAAAATTGAAGTCCAACATGTTTAAGGATTAATATGTCAGATCTGTCATCTGGGTGGCATGGTGGCTCAATCTCAAACAGACAGTAGCTGGTTGATCAGGCTGAGCCATAAACATGACCATTGTGTTTTTAGCAATACATTTATCCCCAGGTTACTCCAGAGAATCTACCCCTGTAATAAGTGCAAGATTATATAATGCATTTGCCCCATCATACAAAAAACAAACACGCTCACCATTGAGTCTACGCTCCAGGGCCTCTTCCTGCAGCTGTATACAATAAATCTGTTCATCCAGATCCTCTAAAATCTACACAGAGAAAGAAAGGGAGTGTGTGAGGGACAATGATAGAGTGGATCTTCACACACACACACACACACACACACACACATATATTGTAATTGTACTTACTGTGGGTTTGACTAGTAACTGGCCCATCACTGTGAACATGCGTGACATTCCCACTGGAGTACACACTGATGAGATGAGACAAGAAGCTGCTTAAAACCACATACACACGCTCATTTATGCTTTTCTAAGGCAAGAGAATGAATGCAACCTTTAAACTAAAGAGTTCAAGTTTATGTTACTACTGTTACAGTGGGCGAAACAAGTGAACAGGGAGTGACAGCAGGGGTGGGTGATACAACTAAAAATATATTCTCTTGATCATTTTCAGCCTTGTGGGCCATTTTGACATATTAGCACTGGAAAAATAAACAACACAATTTTAAATCATTTTAATGAGGAGAATCATTTTAACCAAACAGACACTTCAGCCAAGAAGATGCTCAAAGTATTAACACAGTAAAATTCTAGTTATGTTCTCCACACTATTTTTCACTAAATGAACACATTTAATTGTATATGCACCAATATAACAATAGGAATAAAACATTTACCAACATACTTACTAAAACATTTCAAATGCCACATGAATGGCTTAAAATCAATTGCCTCGTTCACAGGGTTGCTTACATTTTATATCACCAGCAAAATCATGTAAGTATCATAAATATTCAAATTACCACCCTGTCCTAATGCACAATCACATCAACTGCCTGTGTATTTAAAATCTCTTCCTGTAAAGTATTCTCCCATAGTAAACTGCAGCAAAGTCATAACTGTCAGTTACAGATAATTATGTTATATTAGGTTAAACTCAAAACGTTCAAATTGAAAACTTTAGAAGAAAAGTGCAACATTCAATCTACAAACACTGACTTGTCACTGTTCAGACAAAGCTTAATTTTCCTTACAATGTCTTTAAACTGCTCTGCACTGGAAATTACAGTGGCCAATAAGGGCTAAATGCAGAAGCGATGGCTTCCTGTAAACTTACTAAGCAGCAATAGGCCACCCATCAGAGAGATGCAGGAGTAGAGGTATGGCAGATAAAACTCCCATAAATCTAGAATGAGAGAATGAGACAGGCACAGTAAACCACAGATCAATACATATCTGATTACATCAGATGCATGCATCCACAGCAGCAGGAGAAGGTTCAAAAGAGATACCGTAGAGCGATTCCATACTGGCCGCATCATTGTCGATGAGTGCGGACGCCACCCATACAATGCCCAGGATGAGGAGACCCAGCAGAAAGAGCATGACAAATGTCTCCAGCACACGAGCCTTTATGCCCTGAAACCAACAAACGCCACGTTTTAAAGTTTACTTATGGCTGTAGCCAAGAGTGATTCAGAAACACATACACAGATCAGCAGGTGTAAATGAGGCTCTAATTGGAAATTTGGCTGTGGAAGCCCCAGGACTTCCCTGTAACACTGCCTCAATGTCAAGCCCCCTTCCCAACACAAACACACACACAACAATAGGTCTCAGCACACACAAAGAAACAAATGACCTTTCTCCCTCTCATTCACTAACACGCACACTTATATGAACTGTTATTAACATGTCCGGTCGGAGTTTGCGGCTAAAATGAAAAAGCTGGCTACTACTGTCTGAGATTAACTCCAGAGGCTCATCTGGAAACTATTAGGAGTTTTTTTTCTGGGTCAGTAAGTTCCTGATGTGTGGCATTTAACTCCACTCCTGATTTGCTTTGTTTCCACAGAACCTAGATATTGATGTTATTGCACGATCGTAAACTGCAAGATTGTGACAAGTCCGATCTTTCACTATGCAGAAAACAGTAAGTCAGTAAGATTTTTTTTAAGAAATTGGTAACACTTTACAATAAGGTTCCCATTGTTAAAATTAATTAACTCCATCAGTTAGCATGAAAAACTTAGATGAATGAATGTTTTAGAAGTATTTAGGGGCACCGATTGTATCTGTTCCCGTTCCTATTATTATTTTTATTTATTCTTCCGACATCTCCCTGAGTTCCTGAATCCTTGCCGAGTCCAACGATAACACCTATGATAGGTTTTACTTTACGGTTTGTGTAGCATTGTGATTTAGCGCTTAAAAAACATTTGCCAATGACTTCGAAACCGTTAGACCGATCGAGACGAAACCACCGTCAGAGGTTTTGGAACCATAGGTTGTTGGCTGTACGTCAATGCCCAAATGTCAAAATATTGATAGTAAGGGGTAGTAAAGTTCAAAGTCTTTTGGTTCTACTGAAAGTTCAACGCGTCAGTAATTTTTGACGTGTTTTTTTTTTTTTTCACATAAATGTCTATAACTCTGAAACGAATTGAGATATTTTCACCAAAACAGATTTATGGGCTCACTCTGAGGACACATACAAAAATGGTGGGATTTTGCCTCTTGGTGGCACTATAATAGAACAAAACATGAAATTCCCGTTGACTTTAATACAGTATTGAGATGTAAAATCAAAATGCTATACAAAATGCATTGCTGTAACAGTAAGAAACTCAGTGTGTGCCATAAACAGCATGCCCTGAAGGTACTTAAAAGATTGAGATAGCGCTACCTTATGGTCAAAAGTTATTTATAAAGTAATTTATAACGGGAACTTTTGAATAAATTTGCCGATTATTTCACTGATCTTAATAGATTCCTTGGGTTATGCCGAAAACGTATATTCCAGGTTTAATTGCCATAATCAGCCAAACTTCCTGTCCACCATCTATATTTTCTTTTAAAACATTCTTTTTCGAACTTCTCCTAGACCGTTGGTCCAATTTTCACCAAAATCGAATTGTGTCATCTCTAGACCTTGCCGACTAGAAGTTACAGATTTTGTGATGATAGACGAAACCATTTTCGTATACCACAGCATCAAATTTGAGGCATGCTGCCAAAATGACTTAAGTCTTTATCTCTGCAATGCCTTCACATTTCGACACCAAACTTTGTATGTGTCATTGTCACCTCACTCTGATCACAACACATTACTTCCTTTAATTTTAACCACAAGAGTCACATTGAGATGTTACTATCTCTTCTTCCAGAGAGACATGGTTACGCATAGATTATCACTGCGCCACCAATTGTTTGAAAGTGATAAACCATTAGATCATTTTATAAGTTACTGTGAATATAATTTAAGCCATTTTGCCTAAACTCATCTTTAAATATCTTTAATTGCTCCTTGCTGCTGTTGGTCTGTAACTCTCAGCTATGTTGGCATGTCTTGTCGTCTGCTTATGCTATATATTTAATATTAATTTCAACAATTACTAATAAATTATTAAAATCAAAAGTTGCATCTGTTAATATGGACCTGAGCCAACATGAATGAACAACAAACAGTTGTATTTTTATTGACTAATAATACTGTAATGCATGTATTGTTTCTTGTTAGTTAATATCAGTTAATGCATTAACTAATGCAACCTTATTATCAAGCAAACTTTTATTATAACTTTTGCGACTTGATCAATGTAAAGAATTTGTATTTTTCTATAAAACAATGTTGTTCTCTTGAACTTTGTTTTCAAAGAATCCTAAAAAGCATCACGGTTTAAAAAAAAGAAAGAAAAAAGGGCTGTACGAATAATCATAATTTAATCGTGATAACTTCTACCTCTCTCAATCAAAAATATGCATCGCAATAATTGTTTAAACGAAGTCCATGTGCTATTACCCCTTTTTTTTATATAAATTATTAATAATCTTAATTATAATTTGAGCAGAATAATCATGATTATCAGTTTAACAATTATTGTGCAGCCCTACAAGCAAGCATGTGCAACATTAATTTAATAATTTAATCCAGCAATTACACTATTCTGACTGAACCCATTAGGATTACTTCCCTTTACCTTAAACCCAATTGGCCCTTCTATACTTTTTCCAAGAGTCGACATTCCCTGCATCCTTAATAGAAACCTGTCTCTGTCCTTAATGCACTTTATGTATGGGCAGTAGTTAACAGCTTTTCTTGATATTAAGATTAAGAGAAACTAGAGCACCTCCAAGTGACTTCCTGATGAACAACATCTGCCTCATATCAGTCTCCCCTTAATGGATTTTGAACCTTTTATATTTGAACTGTGAATGAATGTGTTACAAAAAAAAAAAATCAGAGTCAATAAATAACTAAAAATCTGCACACACACAAAAAAAGAGAAGGATATATGCATTTGGTGATGTCACGTGCCTATTTTTCTAAAGTTACTTGTATTTAGAACAAGAAAACAAATATAGGCAAGAAAAGAGTTTAAAAAGTGAAGCGCTACCTTTCTGGTATCTAAGAAGGAGAAATAGACACGTGGCAGAGAAGCCAGAAGGGTTGAGAAGGGATGTAAGCCCTGCTTAATATAGTAACTCTAAAATATTCAACATCTAGTCCTTACACATACACAATCTCACTCTTTCATGTACACACACACTGCAGTATACTCTATTCGGACTGCTGCTAATACCAGGTTGACTTCCAAGAAGTGTGTGTGTAAGAGAGAGAGAGAGAGAGAGAGAGACAGAGAAAAGGGGAGAGATATAAATAGATGGAAAAGCAAATGTTTGCATTTATGCATGTTTTGTTGGTCTGAGTCACCTAAGAGGGCTCTCCCTGACCTTACACACCCTCAGTCAGCGTCAGGGTCACAAACTGCTCTCTCTTTCATTCGCAAAATGACTGTTTGACTGTGTAACCAGCATAAATGGAAAACTAAAAAAAGATAAGAAGAGAAGAACCTCAACAAAGTTAGACAAAATTCTTAAAAATGATCTGACTTTGCAAAACAGACAGAACAACAGGCACGTTCACAAACATGCAGTGTTTTCCCTGTGTACTACGATTTCCCCTCGGTGAACTACTAACTCTCATCAGTAAAGGCTTAGCATGAACAGTAGTCATTACCTTCTCTTTAAGCCTACACCGAGAGCAGTGTCAGAGACACAAAACAGAGCGCAGAACACGCAGGGGACATGAATCACTGTATATCAACACACACACAGGCCATTGATGTGCCATTCTGACTAATACATTAGAAGCCCGTCAAAATGACGAGAAAACAGGATATATGACTTGAGGAAGGCACTTCAGTACTTTTGAAGTTTGTGGGTGTGTTTTATTTTCTTTTTATCCCTCTTCCTACAGTGTCACCATCTTTTTCTTGTTAGCATGAGGTGTCTAACAAATAAGACCTTTGAGAACGGCTTCTGAACTAATCTGGGGTTTGTCAAGAACACAAACAGCGAGACGTTAAAAGCCAAGAAAACGTTTAAGAGTGATACAAATCAGAAATGAATAGAAAAGGGAAGCAGGCAATCATTTTTCAGTGTGTTGTTCAAACACACTAAAATACACGTCGAGGCATCTAGTGTAACAGAGCCAAACTATTGCAGACACGGTGCTGATGGTAGTGAACAGTCGACACATTCATTTGCATTCAAGTGAACCTCACAAGAAATACATACAAACAATCACGCTTTCTAAGGTTTGACTATGGAGGATATTACCCAATCCAGTGTTGCGCCTTTTCCCGTCAAAATAGAGAAACTCATATGTTGTCATAGAAACGGGTATAGAATGGGGCGCAGGCAGAGTAAATACACAGTGTCATGGCCTTAGCAAGCAAAGCCTGGGAGCGAGAATCACATCTCAAAAATAAATATCAGTCCTATTGTGGACAGACTACAAAGGAAGAGACTGACACACACACACACACACACACACACACACACACAATGTTAAAGATTTATGTGATTCCTAAGGAGTCAGTTAAGTTAGAGTCCTTTTGCATAGTGATAATAACCAATACATTTTACTAGTCCTATACCCAGGTGCATCATAGAGAGTTAGGAGGCATAGGGTTTTTTAATGTGATACTGACTGAGGCATTCGGTTCATGCTTACTGAAATCATAATTCTGCCATCTGTTGTACATGATCAGAACTGCAGGGCTAGACTATGCATCTATCCATCCCAAGTACCCTTATAATGCCTGCTACAGACTGTGCGATTTCGGCAGTCCTACAAAATCATTACAAACTACAATGTATAATATACTGAAGACCTAATAAAATTGGACACGACATGCATGAAGACTGTACGATAATGACACAGACTGAATCATAGGCTACGACGCAAGCTAGTATAGAAGAATAAAGTCATCGGCATGCATAGTGGTAAATAATTAGAGCACAATTAATCACACTTTGGCAATTGTGGTATCTGTGGTATATGCGTGAGAAAAAGAGGAAACAAAACGAATGAGGAGAATATGGATGTGTTCATGGCTAGGAAAAAGAGGTGAAAAGAGTAGTTTTAAGTTTTAGCGCCATGTCACGTTGATCAATATGCCATTTCATGCTTTGCATTTTCATTGGCTAGTCAGTGGATGCAAGTCGTAGCAGCAAAGACACTGCGAAAAGAACGTTTACGAAAAGAACGTACGACAGAAAACTGGGTGTACGGTCATTTCCACACAAAACTCTGCATTTACGGACGGGAGCGGAGGCTAGAATCAAATCTCACATCAGGTCTCAGTTCGTGTACGCAGGTTTTTGAGTTAGTGTGAACCTGTGTGCAGCATGCTAAATCTGGAGGAGAAATGATATGAGAGCATTTTGATCATTTTAGATTATTTTGACTGACAAATGAAGCTCATTAGTCAATTATTAACCGATTACATGGGTGTCTGTGACTCTTTTAAAATTCCACAAATGAGGTTTAGTTTTACATACACAAATAACAGCATAAACAACAGAACATGAGAATTTACACCGTCACATCACGCACTAGCAGCACTTGTTTGAACGGAGAAAAACTCAGAAAAAATAAGTAAAGGGAATAAAATAAATAGGACTACATGAAATATATTTAACTTAAATAATAATTAACAGATTAACAAAAGAAAAAAAACTGTGACACTTGTTTTTTTGTGACACTCTAGTGCATTGTATTTGTTTGCTTATATCTTTTTTTTTTTTTATTAAATCCAACTGATCGCACAGGCAAGCACACACAACATATTCTAGCCTTAACTTGACATTTCAACCATTCATCATCAAACTAAAATGCAGTCAGTCAAACATAAAAGTTACACTGCTTAGTTTAAACGGTCTGCTGTAAAATCAGTATGCCCAGTGCCCAACCAAACGCATTTCTGCGTATGTGAAGGATGTGGTTTTATGTGAGTTCTAGATTACAAAGGCCTGTTTAGCTACATGATGAATAACAGTTTAGCAACCAAATGTTACATGGCAAATATGGACACATTTGGATACTTGCCCAATAAGAGGTAATCCCAATGCTTTTCAGTATCACTTTAAATAAATTCATTTTGGCTTGATGTATGTTGTTTGTAATGAATGCCACTATGACTGTCGAATTAATATATAACTTTAAAGCTACTTATTTTTCATCCTTGTTACTTTTCTGAATACCTTTAAATATACAGGATTTCTTGTGGAGGGAACCAGAATAGGCTACATGTTTATAATGGTTGTAAATGTTTGATTTTACTTACCGATATTTAATATCCATATAAATTAATGTAATTGTTTGCTGTTACAAGGTTACAAGGTTTGGTGTTTTTGCAGTAAGAACAATACATTTTTCTTTTATTAGATTACTTCCTCTTCTTGGCCAGGTTTTGTTTACTCCCTGCCGTAAGATGATTTCTGTGCTCGGATCTGCGCTTCTTTCTACATTAGATTGATAAATGAGACACACTGTGAGATGATCAAGCTAAATTTCTGACACGGTCAGAAAATGATCGCAGACTACGTATCTTTGGTCGCAACAACCTCTCTCACTGTGCGATGTAAAACCACGCTTTAGGATCCACAACCACAGAAATCACCATGATTGGTTTTTAATGTTTTTGAAAGAAGTCTGTTATGCTTAAAAGAAAATACTCAGCAATGGTTTGTCATGGTTTGTCTTAAAGCATAGTAAAAACACACCACATACACAACATTAAAAACTTGATTTTCACCACAAGGGGATTTTAAGTTATAATAACATTAGAGCGGTTATTTTAAATTGTAATATTTTACAATATTACTGTTTTAACTATATTTGATCAAATAAATGTAGCATTGATGAGAAAAAAAAAAAAACATTTAAAAAAAAATCGTAATCATTTCAAACTTTTGACTGCCAGTCAGAAGTGAATATAGAAAGGAAAATAGTCCAGTCACACACACTTTTCTTCTCCGCAGATATTGTTGGTTTTGTTTATTACATTTGATGAAGTACTAATACAAACACTGGCCCATAAAACGCACCAGCTACAGCTCACACAAGCTTTTAACAAACTACCCAGTTTCATTTCCTCCAGTTACTGAATGTAACTTGCCATATATACGTCCCCGTTTAACCATCTAAGTAACATGGAGACTGGCACAAGCAGGCCATTTGACTTTATACTTAAAAAGAAAACATGAAATCTTGATTTTATGGGCTTCTGCACTTGACGACTTAACCCTTTCCCTGTATCAGCAGGGGGCTTTCATACAAGCGGCAGTTTCTGATCATTTCCTCTCTTTTTGTACACGTGCGCACATACATTACTTTCCACTGGTCATTCCGAGACGTGTAGGCCAACATAAAGCAGTGCTTCCCTTTCTCCTGTGTTTCTGGTTGATCAATGGCCAGAAACAGTCATGGTGCAAACGAGACAAAATGAAGCAGAACGCCTTGCTCCCGTACAAATGAGTGCAGCCCTCATAAACTACAGTAGCAACTAATCTTTATGTAGTTTTGCCAGAAGGGACATAAACCAGGAGCGACTTCAAACTGTGATGAGAGTAAGACAGAGGGCAACGTGATGCATTCCCTCCCACCCTTTCATTTTTATCTGCACGCTCTATTGTGACGGTGTGTGTTTGCCGGTTTACGGTCTCTATGAGCACCCGTGACAGCCCTTCTTTGAGTGACTAATAACACAAGGTTGAATGAGCTGGAGACATAAGACCGCTCTGCTTTTGAACTTTTATCTTTTTAGGGTGGGGGAGTGGCTGAAATTAAAATGGTCACACATAAAACCGTGTGTGTGTGTGTGTGTGGGTAAGCAAGGGTGAGTAAGTGCACAAACTTGGGTGTGCTGGGAGTATTGGATTGTACAAATGGGTAAAAATATCTTTAGAATCTTATGTGTCCTTGGTCATTGTATTTAAACACAAAGCCTCAAGCTTGGAGAATACACACAAACATACCTTTTTCGAACCAGCAAAGCCCTCAGACTCCAGGAAGAAATAGGCAAAAGGCATCAGCACAAAGAGACAGAGATTTGAGAAGAGGGACACCAGGTTCCACAGGCCTGCAAAAAGATAAATCTATTCATTCAACTTTAAATTCAAATAATTAATCTGATCAATATCATTTTATATAATAATCCCTTCCCTTGTTCAGTAAATATAATTTACTAATTCGATTGTGCTTTAAGTTAGTGCGGTTTAACACTTTTTTTTTTGTTGCCATGTTTAAATCAATCCCACAGATTTACCCTTTCAAAATCAATTAAGAAAATTAAAAAAGTTAAAGTTTCAAAAGTTCCAAAAGCCCCAAATATTCTCATCATGTGATAACACCCAAAAATTGCACAGAGAAACCATCCGCACAAATAACAGACATATGACACCACCTTGTGGCCATGGCTGAAACTAAGGAGAAAAATACTAAAATGACAATAAATGGGAGACGTATGGACTCAGAACAATATGACAACAACAAAATCATATACTCTAAATATTATCCAGTGCACAAGTCATTTTAATTTTAATCCGATTTATTTATGAAATGCAAGGACGAGTAAAAAGGGCTGCGTTTTAAAGAGAACAACACACAAGTAGCATTTAATTTCCACAACAGTCTGTGAAAGTCACCTAATGCATCACAGACGAGAAGAAAACAAACTTATGTAAGCATGCAGATGTAAAAATACAGTGAAAAGGGGTGATACTGACCATGAATGAGTGATCCATTGAGCCATTGTATATAGTAGTTTTTTGGAAGGGAGAGCAGGATCTCATAACTGATTATAGAAAATGGTAAAAGGAGGACAGCCCCTCCAGACACTGCCAATGTGAATGTACACAAGTACATACTGAGAGAGATAGAGAAAAAACATAAAAAGTAAAAAGCATGCACATTTTATTCATTATTATATTAATTAAATTAACCATTTACATCAGTTTTAACTACACATTCAAGATCATGGAGTTCCATGATGAAAACAAGTGTGACATTTACAGACAAAAATGTTATTAAACTAAAGTTTCATTGATATTAATAAAACTGGATCCTTTTAAGAGTACCATAAAAAATTGGCACTTGTTATTATGATTATACTCACGATATTCTGTTGACAATGGCATCTTCATCTTCCTGGTCATCTGAGAGGGATAACCACAGATGCAAAGTCATTGGTTTTGTCGTTTTAATTTTGATAAAGGTTACGTTCCTCTAATTCTTTAGAGCTATGATGCTCTGGCAATCTTTATCAATGAAAAAAATGTCAGCCAGCTCTTCTATAATCTAGTGTAAAGTTCTTTACAGAGAACACAAATAGCTATAGCTACAGAGGACACAGAGACATGGCAGATGGTTGAATATGTCTAAAGCATGATCTCTCTTCATTTAACTAAAAGCTACATGAAAACTGGTTAATCATAAATCAAAAACATGTGAATAAACCTTTACAACCAATCGCCAGATGGAGGCTGTCAAGAATCAAAGCAGGTTAGAGAGTAAGGGGGAGAGGAACAGATTGCAAAATGGCAACACAAGAAGAAAGAAAGAAAAGGGTGAGATGGAAAAAAAGCATAGAACAGCATCACTAAATAAAGTGGTCCAGAAGCCGGAAGTCTAATTCGTCACTGTTCCATTTAGAATTAGTCTTCCAGGTACTGACATCATCACTGGGTCTGTCATCTGACCAATCACCGCCGATTAGCGTCACGCAAAGGAGTGGTTTGGAAAAATGAGTCGTTGTACGAATCATTTGGGAGTCGGTGAAGCAAATCAATTAAAAACAAATGCATATTATAAGACAAATAAAGTGTTTTTTTATCCTTGCATGCATGTTAAACTGTTTTTGGGAACTCCTAAAACAAAAATAGGAACATTTCAAATGCTATGATAGGGGCTCTTTAAAATGTGAATGGTACTCAACCCTACTCACAGGACATCTCAACCTGTGAGTGTCGAATATGACTGGCTTACTTTTCAGTAACATCAATGATCATATAATATCTCAAACGTAAAAAGCTGTATTTATTCATTGTTGCATGTGTATGATGCAACAACAGTTTGATCAGTAACAACAAATGGATTAGTCTCATATACTTACCACTTTTCCTCTTGTAGCGGGAAATGATGCAGTACGACACAATGTATAATACTGCAAACAGGAGGAAGCAGATCTAGAAAAGATGAAGGAGATGAATGAGTTTCCAAACACTGAAGTTCTGCAAGGGTTTTTACACTGTAAAGTTTACATTCAAGGCCCATTTAACTTTCAGGTAGTAGTACCTAACTGAAATTCAGTGGTCAAGAAAATTTAACCCAAGAGAGATTTTGTGCTGTGTGTCCCCAATGGATTGCCAATAGAGCTATACAATTAATCATTAAAATATCGCAATTTCGATTCAAACTCCCACGCGAACTTATTCCTAAATGATTCAGCCAGCCATGTCTAAATCTTTGATAAGTGCAATCACAGCGAACACCCAAGTCTGCATCTGGGCTGCCGCTGAGCCCGAGAGAGCAGCATGTATAGGTATGAAACAGCTTCACAGTGTTTTCAACCACACAGCATCATTATTTCTGTTACAATAATTCAAACCATCACCAAAGTAGTGGGATAAAAGTTTTAGTTAGGAACACTACTATTTACAGAAGCGATCAAAATAAAGTATATCACCTTTTGAAAGTAACTTTCAAATAAAGATTGTATCAATTACATCATTACACCAGAATGTGATGACAAGTAAAAGATTGTAAAGAAAAAAAAAAACGTATTAGTGTTTGAATCATTCATTCAAGAGATTCATTCAAAAACACTGATTCATCCAGTAATGAAACAAGCAAAGTCTTTATGATTCTGAGTTATTGAATCATTGATTCAAATCCATTTAAAATTCAGATTGAATATTTTTTTAATAGACAGCAGCAATGTTGTCATAACGTCTGAGTGTTTAACGAGAATGGCATATTTAATCTAAATGTTCATATCAGAAGTAACACTTAATTTAAATAATTATTTTTACTTATATAAGCTTTTATTGTGAGCATGCAGTATTTATGATTAGGACTCATAATGAAAATTTACAGTTTTACTTCATCTGCTGTTATATATACGTCAGTTTCACTAAACGGCCCAACGCGCACACTGGCAAGGACTGGAGTGAAATTATATTTGTATTACCTTGTAGGCCATGTATAATTTTCTTTAGATTTCTGGTCTAAAAGTGACCAAAAAGACATTTAACTGCAGCTCAACACCATCGGTGTCGCCAAACTGCTCCGTTTACAAAACGTTCGTACGCATGGGTCAGAGTTTGCGTGCAGGAGCTGCAGTTGTACAAATTTTCCCATCAAGTTTGTTTTTATAAATGACAATTTATGCGTTGAAAGTGACTTACACGTCTTTCAGGGCCTGTTTTTTGCGAACACAGCGGTTATAAATGTGGCTCCAGGACATGGGGAGTATTTTAGGAGGGACTGATGGATCTGCATATGTTAACATGCTGGGCAAGCGTGAATTTTTACTCATATTACACCTTGCTTATAGCCTCACAGAACTACAGATCCCTAACAGACAACTGCAAGGGCACCTCAGTATTGAAGGTGGAAGAAAGCATTGTTCATTCACTCCCCCACCTATATTTTCATGCCGGTATTGAGAATTGAGGCCACAACATTCATGTGACCAGTCTGATTCTCTAACCATTAGATCACAAGCCCACGACTGCACCGAAAATATAATAAATGTCACAATAGGGAAGAAAAGACTGTCACAACTTACGCTTCATGCTGACTTTAAATTAAGTTGCTTTAGATTAACAAATAAATGCTAGTATTAAAGCATAAATAATATGGTTGACAACCCTTCATATAGTGAGGCAATCTTAATTAAACCTTAAAACTATAATGTCAAACATCGAGTGGCAGTCTATTGAAGCCAAAGAGGCCAATCCAAAACAATTATCATATTTAGTGATGCTTACTAAGGAGAGTCCACAAATTATTATCCACCCATAACATCCATGCAACAGCAAAGCTACAATCTGGCAACAACACAAAACAAAACTAAAAGTACATTTATATGTGTAATTATATTTTATAGTTTCTTTAAAAATATATATTTTTTAAATGTATATTTATTTATGTATATTTTGTGTATAAAATGTATATTTTTTTACATTCACAGTGATCCTCCCAAGACTATTACAAGTAACTCTCAGGGCCCTGGGCCATTAGGCCATCCTTAGGCCCTGTTTACACCAACAATAACAATAAAGATAACAATAAAGTATATAATTAAAGTATATAATACAATATAATTCTAAAAATTGTTTTCAATATTATAGAATAGCATGTTTACACCACAGCTATAATGATAAAAGGAGAGAGAAACAATATAGTTGGAATTACATTCAGAACGAACAATTTGATCCAGCTGATGAACGATAAAATCAAGAATCCATCCTGCTGTAATAAGTTTTAGCATTAAAGTGTCAGAGAAGCACGTGCTTAGAATAAATAGAATGATATCGTCCACTGGTGTGGACACTAATATAGTTATCATTCTTGTGAAGAAAAAAAAAAACTCTGAAGCTGAGATCTTACCACAATCACCACTCACAAAATCTTTGAATAAATAAACAAAGTACATTTAGGGATGCGCGGTATACCGGTATTGCAAAAATACCGGTATATAATAAATTTCAAACGGTACAATATCATCATTTTGTTAAATTCGGTATTTGATGAGCTGCTGTTCCATAGTTCTCCACTAGGCGGCAGTGCGCTACCGAAACTGACGCGAGTCACGCGAAACCGGCAAACGAAGGAACACTGTGGAAACGAAGCTCATTCGGATTTCTACACGCCCGAAATTAATAAATAGAGAGAGCAGTATGAGTGAAATAAGGCATTACTTTGCCTGCTAAAGTAATGAGAATGGTATAGAAACAGATCTCAATGCACCACTCTGCAAACTTTGCTTTCAATAATGTGTTGCCATGGAAGGCAACACATTAAATCTGCCGAAGCGCTCGTCAGTTGCTCATCCTGACTTGTTCAAAGAGTTAGAGATCGACTGGTGAGTTCATCATTCAACTGATTTAATTTAGACTTTTATTGAACACTGAAAAGCGCAAATACATTAGAGCTTATCAATTAAATATGATACGGTAAACACGAAAGCTCAAATCTTCTTGCATGACACGCTACAACCAATTCAGTTTAGGTCTCATGGTCTCATCATTTTTGCAATTTCAATCAAATAATATATTCATTTAATTTGAATTAATAAAGAATAAAAGTGATCGTAAAATGAATGGCATTACTGCCGCTGTGGCGACCAGAGAGAGAGAGAGAGAGAGAGAGAGAGAGAGAGATGGTAGTAGTATGAATATTAATATTATTAGCCACAATTAAGCTATATTTGTCAACATTCATTAAGGAACCTGGCCTAACAATATAGCATTGATTAATCTAGATCAATCAGTAATAAAATGACCTAAAAATGTAATATACTAATATATGTTTAGCATCATAACATTACTTTTTGCAATGCATTGTATGCATAATATGAACCCAAAAACAAACAGTAAGCAAACCAAGATGAAATAAACGCAATAAATGTTGATAATTCTCTTTTGATGCATGACAGCTAATGGTTTACGTCATTTCATTATTCTATTATGTTAAACTATTATTATTATAGATATTAACCTATTTTAATTGTATAATATCAGTTGTTTTTTCCGCATTAACATAATTTGTTTATTTTTAAAATTTTGATATGTTTTTTTTTTTTTGGATACTTTTCTTTGCACAAATGGTAGTTGAGAGTTTCAAGCAGTGTTTAAAATTGTTTCAATTCACTTAAATTTAGACTCTTTTTTTCCGACTGTGGTATCGATTTAGTATCGATACCGAGGTAATAGGTTCTGGTATCGTACCGAAGCCAAAATTGTGGTATCGAGCCATCCCTACATTTCACACTGACTGACTGAATGCATATTAAAAACATAAACATATATAAAAGTAAAACTGTAACCTGTACACACAAAAGCTAGAAAAAAAAATATCAATACTGGTTTACATTTCAAATCTTAAATAAATAAAGGTTGGCTTTAGAAAATATTGTGTGGTAAAGGCCAAAATATATCAAGATTATTGTATATTAGCAACTTCATCCTCTAATGACAGTCAAGAAACAGGACAGTTTAGAAACTACTAGAACATTATTATCACAGCATCAAAAAAAACCCCAGAAAAACAGATATTTGTTAGACCAACTTATTGTATGCAGCTGACAGCTATCTCCCTTCTGCACACCTTGAAATGAATTTAGACAATTAAACTACACTGCACGTGAGTTGGTGGTAAAATTTAAAGGTCAATATATGAAATGTACTGACAAACATGAAAATAAGAGTCAAAACTGCAAGAGTGAATCACATTTCTAATCTTGCACATATTTCATTGCTTCACTTTCTAAAGAAGAACTTGCTTCCCTGTTTTAAAGTGTGGATCAAGAACAATTTAATTACTACATTATTCTATTTAACATTTTTCAACAGTTTTACATTTGTTGTAAGGCAGACACCACAGCTGGGATCACACTACAGTTTTCTGGCTGGTCTTACAAGTAAAGGCTGCAAAATGTGTTCAGTCTTGCATGCCAGTTAGCATATTAATTTGTGATATTTAATCACTAGCATATCTTGAGAACAGGTTTGCTTACAGTGGAAGGAGATACACATTACACACTGACACCCAAAATAAATACTGCAAACCTGCAAAGCTTATGTACACCAACAACAGTAAACAAGCTGTCAGTGCAGAATAGAATTAACTTACTCAACTGTAAACGTTAAGTTACGCCTGCTCTAATTCGAGAAATGCAGTGATGCATGCCACAAAACATAGCATACATTGCATAGAATAACAGACTACAATGAATAACTTAACCACAGCTTTTGGCTTAGTTTAATAAATTGTAAACTGAATAAAATGCCACCGAAAGGGATCAATGAGCTCAATAATGTTAGCTAACTAAAAGCTAACAGACTAGCAAACTAGCCTGATGAACCTCACTCAAATACAGTACATTTTCAACATAGAAACTATCAAAAATTAAAATGAGAGTACAACCATTTATATTTTCATTTCAAGAAACACACGCAATGGAGGCTAAATGCGATAAAGAACAACACGGTAGGCAAACACGATCACTCTTCATCAGTCTCTCTGTACTCACGATGTACTCGCGCACTTGGCTGTGGAAATTCTGCTCTCTGATCGTCACATCGTCTTCTTCCATTCTTCATATTGCAGAAACACATTCATTAGCAACACATTTTTGAGGCGAGTCCATTCACTGTAACAGAAAGCGCATCTATGGGATAATCAGACCACCCTGAGGAGAAGAGCTCGACCGAATGACACAGACAGAGATCCAATCGCGTCTCAGCGCCAAATAAACGATCAAAACACAGTCAAAATATATTGCGTCATTATTCAGCGACACACCACAGGACAAGAGGGCGTATGCACCATGTCCTACAGTAAAAGTGGTACGCACACAGTTACACAGCTGTCACTGAGAATAGACTATTTAAAAAAATTACATATTTATATACATATACAAATATTAAATTTGTTCAGTTACATATAATAATGTATACATACATTATTAAATTTGTCTGTACGATGTTTGGGTGCTGAGGTATGGCTTATTCATGTGTTCAGGTGGTTTCTAGGCAGTTGCTAGGATGTTCTTTGATGTTGCTATGGTGTTGCTAGGCGGTCCTTAGGGTGTTATATGAGGTTTCTTTAATGTTGATTGGGTATTCTGGGTGGTTGCCAGGGCGGCTGCTAGGTGGTTGCTTGGGTGTTCTAGGTTGTTACTAAGATGTTGCTAGATGGAGCTGTTAGTGTACCTAGCTATGGCCAAATCACAGCCGTGCTGATATACAGCAATAACACTGCTCTGAGTGTGATATTACTCATTTAACACTTACTGGTAGTTAGTTGTGTGGGGTGGTTGCTATGCAGCTCTTAGTGTATATCAGCATCCTGGCGTTTGGGTTACGCCGCCTTCACACTGGCAGTTGAAATCAGCTCCAATACGGCTCCGAAACGACCGGAAGTTATTAATTTGCTATGGAGTTTCGCAGACCGCATGCGAATGAATGGGTCAGAAATGGGTTCGACCAAGTTCGGTGCAAAGAAAATCGTGTCCGTTGGTCATCCGGAAAACTCGCCGCTCGGTTGCTAGCGTGTGGTTAGCTAGTTTTTTACCAAGATGCTACCATGATTAGCGTGTTGCTATCATTTTTAGCTATGTGCTAGCATGATCAGCATGTTGCTAACATGTATTTAGCTAGATGCTAGCATGATTAGAATGTTGTTAGCATCATGCTAGAATTATTAGCATGTTGCTAATATGTATTTAGCTAGATGCTAGCATGATTAGAATGTTGCTAGCATCATGCTAGCATGATTAGCATGTTGTTAGCATCATGCTAGCATGCTTAGCATGTTGCTAGCATGATGCAAGCAAAAATAAGCATTATAACATGTTTTAGCTAGATGTTAGCATGATTAGCATGTTGCTGGCATCATTGGTGTGTTGTTAGCATGATAAGCATGTTGTTAGCATGTTTTTAGATATATGCTAGCATGATTGGCATGTTCCTAGCATATTTAGCTAGATGCTGGCATGATTTTCTATAGCTAGTTTTCTAGACATGCTTTTATAGGTAGTTGCTAGGGTTTCCAGGGTGGTTGCTATGGTGTTCTTCTGGGTAGTTGCAATGGTATCACTAGGTGGTTGGTAGTTGCCACATATGGTTACTAATGGAGTTCTTAGCATTTTCTTGGCATGATTTAACACTTACCTAATCGCTATTAGCATGTATTCACAGTGTATACTATATATATATAGTAATAACTGGAAATTTTGCATAAATAGCACTCTGGTATTGTTCATTGGGGGTCACACTTGTGTTGTTTGCATTTAAAAGTGGCCGAACACATGAAATGTAACTTTTTTTTTTTAAATTTCAGTAAAATCAATGTAATATATTTCGTTCGATAATATTTTGTATTTTGAGAGAATTGAATGGTACTAATTAATATTTATGCAATAATTATCATAAAACTGTCCCATCGAAAAGAAAATCTTTTTTTTTTATTACTTTTTAATTAAAGCAGTATTTCAATATAGACCTTTAAAATCCAATTTTTGAAGGCAGATTGGTGCCATCTGGTGGGAATAAAAAAAGAGAAAGAAAAAACGTCTGTAATGCTATGGTTTCCACTAGAAACCACTAGATTTATATACACTAGCTCTATATAAAATATAAAATGTAATATGTAATAATATAAAATGTAATAATATAAAATGATTATAAATTCTCTAGTTGTTTTTAGACATAAATACTTATGTATCCTATACTACTTTTTATTAAGTTGTTGATTTGGATATATTTAAAAATTCTATGGAAGTAAAATAATGGCAAATGTTTTGAAACAAAAAAGCCTGTTGAACTGCACTACTTGATTTTTTTTTTTTATTATTATTTATTTATTTATTGCATTGCATTAACCATGCTTGGTTTATAGGCTGAAATTCAGCATGGTTTTTCCAATATTTAAGCTGTGGATATTTCAATTCAAAACATATAAACACATTTACTTCATATTCACCTTTCATATTTCACTTCCAAAATATTCAAACTGTTTAAAAATACAACCTATAACATTCAACAGGCAATGTTCGGTCCATTTTATTTCGCTTTGCAAACTCGCTTCCACAAATTCAGTGGTTCAAATTCCACAGTAAATTCAACATTGACATCCAGGAACTGCAGGAAAAGCAGTAGATTACCGAGCATAATCTCCATCTGCTGTTAGTAATCTCACCAGCAGGGGGTGCAAAAGCGCCTGTTGTTGACGAAATCAGAGCAGCAGTTAGAGCAAGCCATTCATTCATAAAAATATTATTTACAGCAATTGGCTTTATGCACAGCTGCACTACTTCCTGAACTTCAGCCGGCTCCTTGTTTCCTGTCTGCCATTATTGGACAAACTTGATTAATTCAGGTGTGTCTGATTATTGTTGCCGTGGCTACTGAGGTCAGACAGACCTGAATTAATCAATTTGTCCAATAATGGCAGACAGGAAACAAGGAGCTAGTTGAAGTTCAGGAAGTAGTGCAGCTGTGCATAAAGCCAATTGAGCATGCATTATGTTGCCTACCCCTTGCTGTCTGTGTGCATTGTGGCTGAATGATTGATTTTATGTCATACATTTTTCAAAAACTTGCTTGTGTTACAGTCACACTAGTTCATGTGTGTGTCTGTGGGGGTGGGGGTGGTGGAGGGTTTCAATTTTGCACTCTTGATATTTTAGTGTCACCCCCACTGATCTATTTAATGACATTGTCATTATACAATGTCATTCTATATAGATCAGTGGTCACTCCTTTTTTTCTGCATCGTGGATGATTAGATTGTACACACACACACAAAAATCACTTTTTGCATTTTTTTTTTCAATTTTTGCATATTTCCTATTCATTTCCTAATTGTCAGTCATTGTTTTACCGCAAACAATACACTTTGTTTATGACCATTTAGCTTTTTCAAATCAAGTCCACGACATATATATATATATATATATATATATATATATATTTGTGACTGTGGTCAAATAGCAACTGTCATATAAGTCATAGAGTTCCGTATACCCTTCTGATGAAGAACCAATTTTTTTAAAAAATCACTTTTTTTCGGTCTAAAAAGATTGAACAACACCAGTGGGTTAACTAAACCCTATATAATGTAACTCAAATATTTAATTACACTGTAACAAGGACATAATAATAATTTGTTTTTCAAAATTAGTGTAATGTAAGCATCAAATATTAGTATATCAGGCTTTCTCTCTCTCACACACACACACACACACACACACACTAAACATTCATATGATTAAATGATTTATTTGTAGCTCAACAAGTACGCTCCAACTCAGTAGGTGGCGATAAAGCCACTCAAATATGTTTTCTCTGCTGTAATCGTGACATCTAACGACGAGTCAACATCAATGGCTGCCTCCGTCTTCTGCATGTGTTATTTTTCCAAAACCTATTTTATGCGATATTTAGCGTTTTTCCGTCTGTAAACACGTAACTCTAGACAATAAATAAAGAGCACCGTCAGATATAGTTCGCTTTGAAAATGAAGGTAAAGGCACAGCGCAAGAAGAAAGGGAAAGGTGGAAGGCAAATGCACAAGGAGAAACTTCAGAAATTCATGGATTCAGTTAATAACTTTGTGAAGAGCAAAGGCGGCTTCGATGAGAATGAAAACAACCAAAGGACAACCTTTGTAAAGAGGAAAAGTAGAAAAGAGCTGCGCAAAGAGAAACGTAAGTTAAAGAAATCTAAGATGAAAAGTCACTACATGGGTCAATCCCTCCTGAAGCCCAGCGAGGAGGCGGAGGGACCTGCGCAAAATGAAGAAAATGCACAGAAACCAGCTGCGAAGCCGATTGGAAATCTTAAAAATGTCGCTAAGAGACAGCAGGAGACAAATAAAGACAATATGAATTTAAAAGATGGTGTAGAAGAGAAGACTAAAAGGAAAGTCCACTTCTCCGAGCATCTGCCAAAGCAGAGAACGAAATCTAGTCTACACGAGAGCAGAAAGCGGGCTCTGTTAGAGGCAAATATCGAAGAGGACAAGGAAATAAAGAAATTAGAAAAACGCCTAGGACTGAATAAAAGAAAGAACAAAAAGAGCCTGCCTCAGTCATTCGCCAATGATGGACTTGATTATATTTTAGGAATTCTTGAGCCTGGAGCATCTGCGACGGGACTGTATGAGAGTGATGAAGAAATTGAGGTTGACAAAGCGAAGGATAACTTCGATGAGTTAGAAGAGGACAGCGACAGGCAAATGTCTGATGATGAGAGCCACGGTGAGGATGAAGGTGATTCTGATGAAGAGGTAAGAGATGGAGAGGATGACACTATTATGGAAGAAGATGAGGATGTAGAAGAAGAAGAAGACGCACAGATAGAAGATTATGTGGAAGGAGGTGAAGAAGAGGAAGATGACACAGATGCATCAGAGGAAAATGATCATGGGGAGGAAGTTGAATCTGAACAACCTGAAAGCCAGGAACAAGTAACTTATGTCATCAAATCATAAATTCAGTCTTGTTCTCTCTATTAGTCAAGTCATTTATTTATAGAGTAAATTCAGTTTGTTTTAAAGCAGCTTCTCAGTAATAAAACATGAACAGTGTTATTGTTGAATAATTAATGAATTATAAAACTAAATTCAGCTCAATTCAAAAGTTTGTTTTGAAGCTGATATTTGTGGTTTCTTATTTTTATAGAATTCTGCCTCTGTGGGCAAGTATGTTCCCCCTCACTTACGAGAAGCCATGGACAGCAAACGCAAGGCCGAGCTGGAGAAACTGAAGCGCCGTGTAAAAGGTCTAATAAACAGGTAAGCTGCCGTGGAAGGTACTACTATGACTATAAAAGCTTCATTTTTAAAAATATAAACTATCTTTGGCAAACCAGGTTAAATTCAGCCAACGTGTTGTTAATCAGTTTGATAATCCACCTTTTGCTTGGCAGATTAAGTCAGCCCAACATGGCATCTATCAGCAGTCAGTTGGAAGAGCTGTACATGAGCACCAGCAGGAAGGACATGAACGATACACTCACGGACATTCTGCTCGCTGCCTGTGTCACACCTACTCTCATGCCTGAAAGGTTACCTTATTATACTTCATTTTTATAACCCAGTCTTTGATCATTTTTGTAGAGTTTAATTTAATAATGTTGACTTGAGAAAGCCGACATACTGATGTTCTTCTTCTGAGTCTAAAAACCCTAGTGCTTTCAAGCTACGTCCTCCAGGGTCAGGGGTCAGATCTCATACTGTTCTGATTGAAGCTGGAATCTGCTACATGATATTTTTGGGCCCAATTTGCAGTCTAGAAATTTTATTTTTAATTGGTGATGTTATTTCTTCTCTAGTATCATCCTATTGTTCTCTAATAAGTTATTAAACATTTTAAATTTTTAAAATATGTCTTGTCTAATAAAACTTTGTTCATAATGGCAATTATCTAGACTATATTACACTCTTTATTATCACAATGGACAGTGAATTTACTTTATGCAGTCCATAGTCTACGTGCAAGTACAAAAGTAACAAACCCATTACTTTCAATAATCTGTAATGTTTATAGATATTTTATATGGCATGGATCAGGAAGTTCTCAGAATATAATATAATCATTCAATATATCATTTTTTAAATAGAAAAATAAAGGTGTAGGTTATATAGGCTGTTGTTGATTGCATTACTGCGTTAAACAGTAGGACCAGAACTTAAAAAAAAGCATGAAAGAAATCAAGCCATAGCCGGGTAAGAAAAAGTAAGGCTAACGTAACGCATTACTTTCCATAAAAAGTAACTAAGTAATGCAATTAGTTACTTTTTGGGGGAATAACTCAATATTGTAATGCATTACTTTTAAAAGTAACTTTCCCCAACACCTATAGGATAGCTTGAGGGTGAGTAAACCATGGGCTAATTTTCATTTTTGGGTGAACTCCCTTTAATGACAGGATTTTCATGTTTGTGTGAACTAACCCTTTAAATATGACCTTAAAACGTATCAGCGGCTCTGCTACAGACACACTAATAAATACCTGTAAGTTATTATCATTAACACTAACACTCTCTCTTCCAGGCTTTTAATGGAGCACATCCTACTTGTCAGCATCCTCCACCATAGTGTTGGCCTGGAGGTATCTAATATTTACTTTACTACATCTCACAGATTCATACACTTGTCATCATGGCAATACAGTCCACACTTGCTGCCAGGAGCAGACTTAGTGATTTGGGGGCCTTAAGCAATTCCAGAAATGGGGTGCTAACACACTATGTGCCCTGTTCATTTGGAGCCCTTATTTTTCTGACTCTCTCTCCAAGTACGGAACCCCCTTTTTCAAGTGTTTACACTAAGTTTAAGTGAGATGGGAACAAATAAGCCTAACTAATGTGCACAGATACTCGATAATAAAGCAACTAATAATAAATGGAATACATTTATAAATAAACTGTAAATCTTAAAGGGCTTATCTTAAATTATGGCTATGCTAATTATATTACATTCAAAGAGATAGTTTACCAAAAAATGACAATTCTGTCATTTACTCATCCTCAAGTTGTTCCAAACCTGTATGAGTTTATTTCCTCTACTGAAGACAAAAAAAGTTCTGAAAAATGGTGGGTAACCAAACAGTTGACTGGCCCCATTGACTTAGCTCTTCATAGTACTATGGATATCAATGGGGCCCGTCAACTGTTTGGTTACTGACATTCTTCAAAATATCTTCTTTTGTGTTCAGCAGAAGAAAGAAACATTTACAGGTTTGGAACAACTTGAGTGTGAGTAAATGATGACAGAATTTTTATTTTTGGGTGAACTATCCCTTTAATGTAATCAGTATAGCCATAATGTATATTCAACAATCATACAAATCTCACAAAGATAGACTACACTAGAATATCATGTATATTATATACAGCATATACATCTCAACCAATTCTAAACTAACTTTTATTCACTGAATAGTATAAAACTATTTTTTATTCTCTTTCTCTGGATTATGGTGTCTTCACTGGTGATTTAAATCAGCATTATTCTTAATAATAACTATTTTTATTTACTCCAAATGCGTGCAGATGTAATGATAATGTTGGATTTTTTATAGGGCCTCCTGATTCCTTTAAACGGCTAAGCGGCTGCTGTTTTCGGTGGCATACTCTAGGATATCTGTCATAGTTTGTAGATTTGCTTGACACCTGCTAATTTCTCACTTTCTCTCCTTTTCTTTGAGGTCGGAGCTCATTTTCTGGAGACTGTAGTCCGTCAGTTTGATAAAACTTACAGTCAACTCGATGCTACAGACAAAGAATGCGACAACTTGTTGTCCATAATTGCCCACATATACAACTTCCATGTGGTTCATGCTCTCCTAGTGTTTGACATTCTGAAGAAGCTGGTGACACGTTTCAGCTCAAAGGATATAGAACTAATTTTACTGGTTCTGAAGAACGTTGGGTTTGCTCTGAGAAAGGATGACCCGCTAGCTCTTAAGGAGCTGATCTCTGAGGCTCAGCGGAAAGCCAACGCTGAAGGAGAGCGTTTTCAGGACCAAACAAGGGTAAGACTTTTTTGTCCTGTGTAGAAGCTGTCTTCTGGTGCTTAGAAATGATCATATCTACATTTAATCATCAAACTCTTTTATCCAAAAGCACCTTACAAATGAGGACAATTGTGCTATAGTCGGTCTCAAGTTCTACAAACAGACGTTTATGTTGGTTTGCTTGTCAGATTCGGTTTATGTTGGAAACTATGCTGGCACTGAAGAACAATGACATGAGGAAGATTCCGGGTTATGACCCTGAACCTCTGGAGAAGTTAAGGAAACTGCAGAGGACTTTGGTGAGAAATTGACTGATGTTACTTACATTGGTAGATTTATAAGGTGAAAAGTGCTTAGAGTGGATAACTATTTAATGTTCACATTATTATCAGCCCTAAATTCATTGGAACCTTAATAGTAAAATAAATGTTTGGCGTTAATGGTACCAAATTCACTTCTCGCTGTGGCCACTAGGGGTCAGACTAACTCCATACTTTGGTGTGGTCACACTCACACATGCAGTATTTTCAGAGAAATGTTGAATTGTAGCCTGTTACTTAGTTTCAGAGTGCTCATTCACTAACACAGCCCTCTTTTAATAGATTCACAGCAGTGCCAGTGGTAGTGATATGAAGTTGAGAGTCTCACTAGAGAATCTTCTGGAAGCTGAACGCATTGGCCGCTGGTGGATTGTGGGATCTTCCTGGAGTGGAGCACCCATGATTGACCATGAGAACAAGGCAACCACAATATCCACCAAAGGGGAACAAGTAAGGGTTTTTTTATTTTCTTTTTTGCCTTATTTAGAAATGTTTGAAATGTATAAGAATATAGCGTAACACTTTACAATAAGGTGTCATTAGTTAACGTTAGTAATGCATGAACTTAACAAAATAAACAAAAACGTATAATGAGCTAATTTTTTTAAACATTTGTTAAAGTTGGTTAAAAATGAGTGTATTGTTCATTCTTAGTTCATGTTAATGCATATAGCTAAGTTATGTTAACAAATAAAACAAAAAAAGTGTTACCAAATATAGTTATTTCTGTTGACAGAATCTGTCACTTTTGTGTATAAATTGATTTTGTGAGAGTCAAATTGTCATCTGAAATGGATTATTCATGAATTTATGCATGAATTTACAGTACAGCACAAAGATTTTGGAGCTTGCACACAAACAAAGAATGAACACTGACATCAGAAGGAACATTTTCTGTGTGCTTATGTCCAGTGAAGACTATTTGGATGCCTTTGAGAAACTTTTAAGGTTTGTATTGTTTGTATGCACTTTTTATTTATTGGCAGGACTATTTGTGTAAAATAATTGTATTTGAAAAGTGTCTTTACAGATTAATAGATCTGCTTTATTAGCAAGATAACATTTATTTTATGTTAGGTTAAAAAGAGAACAAGAAGAATGTTAGATTTTCTGAAATGATGTCCTTGGTGTGTGATGATGCCACGCACTTAAAGATTTTAGTTAAGGTTATCACACAAATCTTTCTTTAAATGACTTGCTAAGAGACCCACCTATTTTCTTCCTGTGTATTTCAAACATGATGTACTACATTTGTAATATTTTTCATAAACCATAAATTACCCAATTCATACAATTATTTTCTGTCTCAGGTTAGGATTGAAAAACCAGCAGGAGCGGGAAATTGTTCATGTCCTTACGGACTGCTGCTTGCAGGAGAAAATGTTCAATAGATTCTATGCGGTTCTGGCAGAGAAACTTTGCTTGCATGACCGTCGGTTCAAGGTAGAGTGGAGCTGCAGTGATTCTTACAGTATGTCTCTGTCTGTATGGAGTGTGCTTTTTCATTAGGTGTTAGCTAAGATTACTATTGATATTATAAATAAATATTACTCTTATCATCTGTAATATGATATAAGATCAGCTATAAGTTTTTAACATACAAATCTGTTGCGTTGATAATACGGGTCAGTCTGTTTACACCCATTTCTGCTGCATGTAATGCCTAGCAGCTTGTTGCTGTTTAATATTGCTCAGTGACAATTAAACATAACATCCATTTTGTAAATGTAAACCCTCTGTGCTTTTCTTGTTCTTTAGATGACCTTTCAGTTTAGTCTGTGGGATAAGTTCAAAGAACTGGCAAACCTTTCCAATAGGTCTTTCAGCAACCTGGTCCAGATGGTCACGCATCTTTTACACAGGAGGAGTCTCTCTCTTTCTATTCTCAAGGTAATATTTGGGAAAGTTCATTTGACTGCACTATGTAGTGTATATGTTTTAATGTCCTTCGTCCTCTTTATGAATCATTTACATATTAGTTAATGTATGGCTTAATTTTCTGATGGTATTTTGTGTTTTAATAAGGCTATTGAGTTTGGGGAGCTAGATAAGCCCAAAGTCAAATTCCTGAAGCAGATTCTCTTGAAACTCCTTAAAGAAACTGAGCCAGAAGACCTTGTGAATATATTTGGCAGGTGAGTATTATTTGCCTACAAAAAAATTAATATTAGTCGTGTAGATAAATGTTCATAATGTTCAATGTTTCTAATTTTTTAAAGACATAAATCTATATTTTGTAGTCAAAGGCGAAAGTGTGACATTACTAATTATACATTAGTCTTGTTTCAGAGGCATTATCCATAATAGCAGTATAAATGAACTTCAAAAGAGAAATGAACTTAATTAGCTTTTAAAATTCTTACATTAATGCTTAAATATTTATTTGTGAGTGCAACACTTATTAATGTCAGTAAAATGAGTAAAAAGACCAGATGTGAGGGACAGCCTGAGTTAATCTAAAATGGCTTGTGTGTGGCCTAGTGTGTCAATATCTGTCTACCATTGTGTCCCAGGATTTCTGGAATTCCCGAGCTAGGAATGCTTCGGGAAGGCTTGAAGCTTTTCATCAGTCACTTTCTGCTCCGGACCGTTCAGACACAAGAACCATCTGAGCAAGCCAAGTTACTTATGGACAGAGCCGAGGTCGCCACCAAAGCTATGGAGGCGCGGGACGCCCAAATCAAGCTATAGAGCACACAGATGTGTGCATAAAGCATCAGAATTTCTACATTGGACAATATGCAGACATTAAGACACATGCGGATCACGGACATGCTATTGCATTTCTAAAAATGGCATTCTGTTGTGTGACTTCACATTGACCAGAACAGATCTCAAGTGTGGAATTTATTTTGTATTGACTTGCAAACCTGAGTAAGAGGAAAAAAAAAATATAAAACATTTTTGTGATTCATTCCTCTAGCGTTCATTCCTCTAATGTGCAAAAACATTTAATATACAATAATTGTTGTGCTAACAAATTCAAACTCTAGAGTTGAATAGCTTATCTTGTGAAAACAAAACTGTATTAACTTGATTTAGAAAAGTGCACACATGCAGCAGTGCTCTGGATGTGACCAACTAGCATAACGGGTTACTGTTAGATTTGATGTCCATGGTTAATTCATTAGCAACATTGGCATTACTGACATCAGTCCACAGCATGGAGTGATCCGAGGACGAGCAATCATCATCGGGTCAGGCAGAGGAAACCTCACCCTTGCAGCTCTACAACAAAAGAGCTAAGTGTTTATATTTGATTAATTAAACCTTATCACATACCCCAGTGTCAGATCAAACAGACCGTCACATTAGAGCCTGTAATGACAACACATCAGTCTGGCTGTTTTTTCTCTCGCAGTTTTGGAGCTGGAAACGGGAGGGTTACCTACAGATGGCCTGCTTTTCCACCCTTTGACAAAGACAACATTGTCACCATATGTGAGGAGAAGCGTATAATGTGGGTCCAGCCCACTAAGATACACACAGGTGACTGTAAATAGTGTGTGCTATTGTCTGTCTGCGTGAGACTATAGGAAGGTTGATACTGACCTTAGTTTGAACTGGTAATAGGAAGCGAAGGTGCCTTTGAACTGATAACAGCACAGTTAGAATACTGTTTGTGAGGATGTTACATGTTCCTGTGCAAAAGACCATGGGAGAATCATACATGATTTTATAGGCCCCTAGTGACAAATTACATAATTTTAACAATTTATATTATGTGGTTTATTATGCACTCATGCTTAGTTAATGCAGTTACCGTGCATGTTTTGTCTCGCCTTTAACTGTCTCATCGAGGCCTTCATGTAGGCTTCACTCTTGGTTTTATTTCCCAATGGTTAGAGGGTCATAGTGGCACTGATAAGATTCTGAGTTCTTTGTACTTATGCAGCTGGGTAAACGTACAAGTAGGGTAAATTAGGCATTAGTTAAATCAGTAACTAATGTTTCAAATTGACTGCTACTTGTTCAGGGCCAAATTAATTTTGTATTGTAAATCATTGCTAATTGTTGCCCATTGGAGTATATTTGGTACATGGTCTTAATCATAACCATCATAATGATTTATATATGCATTAAATTGAACCACATTTTAACATTCTTTAGTTACTTCACCTCTCTGAATTTCCTGTTTTTTTTGTTTTTTTTTTAATGTTTGCAAGCCTTTTAGGATAATGCCAAGTGTAGCAGATTATTTAGCACATTTTTTGAGTTATGGAACAGGAGTCTGTCACAGAGAATTGATTCACCAGAATACACTGCATATAATTCCACTGAGAAAGAGTCTGAAAGTGGCTTAGTAAATGAAAAACAAGAAGCATTTCAGATCACATTTAGTGTCCAAGTATAGCTCTCATGGCCCTGGACCGATAGGAGTGGATAGTGATTATATTTAAATGTCCTCTAATTGATTCGAAGAAGCTCCTTGGCAAAGACCAGATGGATCTCTGGGTTTATTACCCAATAAAGCATGTCGTTATTAATAAAGGGGGAAATGCACTTATGCGAAATAGACCTCAATTAGATGGCCGAAAAGACCATTAAAATTGTCGTGCTGTAGAGTAATCTAGCATACTCTCTTTCTTTATCATTTTCATTTCATGTCCTTCCTAATACTATCGCTCTGTCTTTAGCTAATAGCTAGGCCTACTATAGGCTAATTTTCAACATTACTCAGTGAACATGACATAAACAGACTTCCGGATAGATATAACATGAAGTGTCTAAAATCAGCGAAAGGTCAGTCTAATTTCACTTCACGTAAAGTCTAACATAAATATAAAAGACACCTAGAAAAGGCCATGTGATGTGATGTGCTCTGATGATGGATGGGCTTTGTCTCAAAGGTTCATTATTGGGTGGCCATTGCTGCAGTGGTGAGAAATGTTTGGCCATATTCGAGTATGCTTACTCGCACATTTGCACGGTTATGAGAGCTCTATAAACAGCGGTTCCCATGACCCGACCATGCCACTGACAAGAGACAGAGACCGCTTCACATCCAGCCATGGTTGAGGAGGGTTTTCCTTCACGCTTGTAATGGAATATACGAGTTCAACAATGATTTAAAAAAAAAAAAAAAGCCACCTCAAAATTATTATTTTCTTAAATTTTATTCACAAAGTGTAACTGATAAACCTAAACAATAATTTACATGCATTTTAAAAGCAATTTCGTTATAAATACATTGTATAAAAATAAACATCACATATGGTTCTGGCTGTAGATTGTTATTTTTATCCCACTCGATTTCAGAAAATAATAAGTGGTTATCGAATATGATCGTCTTAATGATGCTAATTATTACTGATAGTGATAGGCCTACTCATCTATTTTGCTTGATGAGATGCGATTTTACCACATGCTTTGCAACCTTTAGCCTATCAGTCTACCTTCAGAAGTATCCGTCGATGTTTGAAAACAGTTCATGTAGACACGTCCACCTCAGCATTTCCATAATGACTGCAAGATGATAACATGCATATCACATACTTCTCTTTTATGGGTGTTTTTTTGTAAATGAAGTCTCATGGTTGTGGACTTATATCACTGGCATTGGTTAGTTCATCCTCGGACGAACAATCAGATGAATTCAGCATGTAATTTTCTCCTTCTTCGTCGTCACTGTCTCTAAAGTCCCGTATTCGGTTACTTTTCACTGAATCTACCTTCTGGAAGTCCTTCTCAAGTCCGTCCATTTTATCCTGGTTCCCTTTGCCTTTCTGCTTCTCGGCCTCCTGAGCGGCTTCTTTAGCCTTCTTACTGCGCTTCCATTTCATACGCCTGTTCTGAAACCAGATTTTCACCTGGAAATAAAAACATGACATTTCTCATTCGTAAACACTTCAACTCTAATCGAATTTGGCGATTTTTCCGACGATGTTATTCAGTCATATTTAAATAGATTAATATTATTTATTAAAAACATTTAACATTATTTATAACATGACATTTTTCTTCATTACTGTGGTGTTTTTTCAGGCGATGCATTTTACCTGTGTCTCTGTTAGCATTAAAGATGTGGCCACTTCAAAGCGTTTTGGTCTCGATAGATATTTATTGAGCTTAAACTGATGCTCAAGTTCAAGGAGCTGCTGGCTTGTGAACGCGGTCCTTGGTCTTCTGCACTTCCCGAGTAAGTTTGACTGCGCCTGGCCTAGAATGATGATAAAATTTTTAATTTTTCATATTTAGACAATATGTCATCATATATTTTGTAAAACAACATAAATAAATTAAAAACAGAACTATTCCAATTAGAACCAAATCAGATTTAGCATGTTTATACAATGCAACAACATTTCAAGTTTTGTAGCCTCCTCTTTTATTAATTTTTAGAAAACCAAACTGATGGTGTATAAAGAACCCAGATATACACCGGTCTATAACTTTAATGCAATACCAAGACATCAACATCAACTTTCATAATCTAAGGCAATTGCACAAACCGTTAAATAATTTATTTTTTAGAGTGGTACGGGCAGGACTGCTTTTCTGCCTTTTTTAGGCAGTAGGCTATAGCCTAGTGGATTACTGTAGTAGCCATCAGAGCACTCAAATTGGATTTTTAACACACAATGCAATTTATACAATGGGACAAAATGCTAAAAGCTCTCATTCTCAAAAGCCCCCAGATCAATTCCCTATCACACATAGCCTCTATGTGCCACGGCATTGTCAGTACATCTGGTAACATTTCCACCCTGTCTGATTTGTTTGGGAGAGGTTTGAGAAAATCTGCAGACGAGCAGCGGAACAGAGAGACAGTGTCTGCAGTGTACACAGTTGGCAGGCTGTGGTTTTCACACTCGTCCGCCACTTTCCCTCTGTCCATTATCTTATGAGGCGCCGGACTGGACAAAAGCGAAGCGAACTGCGCGAGAGAGAACGAGCGTTTCAGTGCGCGCGCGTGCGAGAGAGACCGAGCAGTGCGCGCGAGAGAGGCCGAGCGTTTCAGTGCGCGCGCGAGAGAGACCGAGCAGTGCCTGAGCGCGAGAGAGGCCGAGCGTTTCAGTGCGCGAGAGAGAGGCCGAGCGTTTCAGCGCGCGAGAGAGACCGAGTGTGTGCGGGCATTAGTACGTAGCCTAATTAATTGTACATTATATAATTACTATATAAGAGGCATGGAAGTTCGATTTATGGACAACAATAATCAGTACAAACGTCTTTTTTAACTAGTGTTTAATTAACATAAATAATTATATATAGATAATTTATAATAAAGCAGATACACTTTCATAAGGAGGATTAAATAAGATTTATGTAGCCAGTAAGATTTCATAACTAATCACTGAACCATAACCAGATTTTTCGTTTCTTGGGCGTCAAATAAAATAAGAATGACTCTGAATTGTATTCACCAAATGTTGTCTGTGCAAGTGTTTCCATGAGAGCATCAAATAGGATAATGGCATCTGTGAGAAAGATGGTTAAATCTGCAAGAGACAACCGTGTCAATTTACTGTTCAAAATAAAGTGATTTCAGCCGAAATTACCTGTGTTGTTCTATTTGTATTGGCCCCTGAATGTTGTTCCATGGCTCACGAAGGTACCTGCTGATACTCTAACTCATAATTTTTAACATTATTGCGCTTAAAAATTCAATATGTTTTAGAGACTCATGTTAATTTATAATAATAGCCTATATATGTCATGCATGGCTTATTGGATGGTAATAGAAAACGTTGCTTTTTTTAGCATCAAAGTACTTTACCATACTTTGATGATGTAATTCTGTATTTATTTTTTTAACAGTAAATTGACACGGTTGTCTTTAGTGTGATATAGCAACAACACAACAATTTCATAAAATAGAAATTTTAACGAATATTTAATTAAAAATCCAATTAAAATTAACTGGTGTAGTGTTTCTGTGCATCGGTGTCTTTTGTGTCCATGTATTTGTGTATTCGTGCTTGTCAAATAATGTTAAACGTTTTGTTAAAGATTATAACATCTTTGACAAAAAAACAACGAAAAAAACAACAACAACACTTTAACATTTCCTGTAGCTATAGGCCTACAAGTCAGGGCAGTTAGATATTTTGCTGTATTCTCTTTAAAGGCAGTCTTTCCAGATTTAACCATCTTTCGCACAGATGCCATTATCCTATTGATTTGGTGCTCTCATGGAAACACTTGCACAGACAACATCCCGATTTTGGTGAATACAATTCAGAGTCATTGTTATTTTTATTTGACGCCCAAGAAACGAAAAATCTGGTTATGGTTCAGTGATTAGTTATGAAATCTTATTGGCTACATAACATAAATTCAATCTTATTTAATCCTCCTTATGAAAGTTTATCTGCTCGAATTATTTATGTTAACTAAACACTATAAGACGTTTGTACTGATTATTGTTGTCCATAAATCGAACTTCCATGCCTCTTATATAGTAAATATATAATGTACAATTAATTAGGCTACGTACTAATGCCCGCACACACGCGGTCTCTCTCGCGCGCACTGAAACGCTCGGCCTCTCTCGCGCGCACTGAAACGCTCGGTCTCTCTCGCGCGCACTGAAACGCTCGGTCTCTCTCGCGCGCAAACACTCGGCCTTTCTCGCGCGCACTGAAACGCTCGTTCTCTCTCGCGCAGTTCGCTTCGCTTTTGTCCAGTCCGGCGCCTCATATTATCTGTCCATTTTAGTGGAGAGCTCGTTCAGTCTCAGTCAAAGAACAGCTTTACTGACCCTGCACGCGCTTGTTAGACCAGGCTAACTCCTACTGTAATCCGTTGCTCTGAGCAATCTTAAATGATTAGCCTATATTTATTTATTACAACATATGAAAATAAACAGGCTGTAAACTCAAAATAGGGTGAGGCTAATTAAGGAATTACAGAAAATAACAGGCCTATATAAAGCACAACATTCAAACTATTTTGAATATGAAATAATAACAATGATGTCGGGCTAATAACAACTACGCATAGGGCTTTATCCACTTCCACATGCATTTCAAATTGAACTCACCACTGAAATCTGCCATTTTGGGCAGCATCATTCCCGCAGTTGAGACCCTCAGCCAGTGATCTAGCTGAAAGGAGCTGGCGGTGAGTTTGAGGGGGTCATTGGGATGATGATGATGATGATGGTGCGACCCATGCGGATAAGAGTACGACAGCGCCGGGTGCTGACCGAGCGCTGCTGCTGAATATGTGTACATTGGATGACCGTAGAGAGCTTGAGGAGGAATCCCGGTGCTGCTCTGAGGGTGTAGTCCGACCATGCCCGAATGTGGAGAATTTAAGAAACCCGGCTTGGGGATCAAGCCGCAGGAAGATATTCTGGGGGGCGAAGGAGTCTCGTTCCGAAGAGCTTCGGAGTTCGTGTTCAAATCTGACGCCTGGACACTTTCGGAGGAGGATGATATGGAAGATGTGGAGAGGGAGGTGACCAGCGCCAGCGGCGAGGTTTGCACCTTTGGTGGATCGACAGCTAGAAGCGCGTCGATTCGAAAGTTTTTAGACTTCTCCATCTGGCCCACCTCACAAATAGATTCACGCGTCCGCAACTTTACAAGGCTGTCACAAGTGTCACCGTTCCTCTCTTTAAAGTTATGATCTTGGCCAAGGTGTGCAAGCCAGAAGAGCACTTGTCAACTGCTGCCCGAAAGGGTGTGGATTGGTCATCACGTCATCCTTGTGGATTTCCGATTGGACAATGATTTCACCGTGTTCACTGTGCGCTAGTAGAAATTCAATAGTCCTCAAAAGATAAGAATTTTCTCGTATCGTGGAAGTTAATGGTGTGTGGAAAAAAAACTGTGTTGACACAACACGCACAGACTACTTTATAGCCTACATTTTATATCCATATATACTAGCTACTTGTTGTAATTGTTTTAAGAAAGCATAAAAACGCAATGATTAACATCAAATTACAGATAGGCCTACAGAACAGAAACATTTTCACATGCATCCCTTCAAAAAATAATACAATGTAGCTAGATATATTATCAAGATGTAGCCTATTTTTTTTTCTCTTTTTTTCAATGCAAAAAGCTAACGAAGATGTTTAAATAAATGGCTAAAACTGGCTATCCTGTTTGCGTGCACGCTAAAGCTATGGGCGTTTAAAAAAATAATTCGATGATTAGTCTTGGCCTTTGAATTAATAACAAAGTGGGATAACGCATTTTATATTAGGCCTAAATATATTTTTAATTCTGAATCATGAGAGGACAGATTTGTGGAAAGTCTGTCCTGCACACCAACCATAAGGCAAACCTTGTCACACTCTTTTGTACTCCAGTGAATATTTTTGAACAGCCAATGATATTTTTTTTTTCTACAAAGGTTGAAGCAGTAAAACAAAAATGAAAAATGTAAAATGTAACCTAACTTCAATCGGAGCTGTGTTTTATATTTAATAAATTAAATATTTAATAAATTATAGCTACATGCTAGCTTACATTATTAAATATAGCCTAAATTTAATAAATTATTTTACAATATTTAAAACACGTGTGACAACTTGCACCCATATCTTTGACCTGAGAACACAGACCAAACTTTTTTTTAATTTGAAATAAAGTGAAACCTTTATTTTATTTGAAATAAAGTTCAAATAGGCCTAATATATAGCCTGCCAGTTTCGGTTTGACATTTTTGTGATCATTTCTTTATAAACAGCTACAGAAATATAAATATATGCTATTAGATGTTTACTCTGGAGGTTAAAAAATGATAATAATTTAAGAGACTATTTTAACCACTCCGAAAACACATTTTGACTTTTGACTCAAAACCTTGAAACCTTTTCCGCGTGAAATTTTTAGTCATGATCTAAAAAAAATCTAATCTAAATCTTAACTATCACACGTGATTCACATCACAGTTAGAGATTAGCTATTTTGTTGTAGCCTATTCTGGATTTTTACATAGGCTATTTTAGCAACTTTGCATCCATAACAACAAGATAATGTGTACTTAGGTTATTAATTTAATTTTTAGATTATAATTAGCCAAATGCTATAGTATGCCACACAATCAAACTGTCACATTTATCATGACAGCAACAAACTTCTGATAATATAATAATATTGTAACACGTTGGTAGCCTACATATATTTTGTACATTTGATCAAATTTAAAGGAAAAATGGGCATGAAGAAAAATGAAAAATATGGCTTTCCTAAAAGTTATGTCTACAGCAAACGGTGGATCTCGCTCTTAAAATCTAAATTAGCCTAGCTATTTCTTCAAGCAGCTGGGTAGGCTACATGGTGGGATGGGGGTGTGGAAGATCTGTGTCCTGTTGTGGGATCTCTTATTAGCCTCTTTAAGCTAATGGAGAAAGAGGCCAGAGAGAGAATTATTGACACTCTGTTGCCCTTAACCTGTCTACCAATAAAGCGGATTAGTTTTCCTCAATTCATCAGATAACCGCTCTCTCGAGACTGCTCGCATGCGTTTATTTGCTCAGGGGAAATCAACAAGTCACGAACCAAAAGGAGAAAAATAACAGGGTGCCCTAATGATGAAGTTACCCGAAATAATAGGAATCATATAGCCTCGGAGGCCTACGTGATTTACAAAGCAACAATAATCTTATTTATTTTTATTTGGAATCCTCCTATTTGAGGTCTTTATTATAACCTGTCCCATTATTAACATTATTCACAATCAAATGTGAAACGCGTTTAAACGTTCTTGTGTCTTGCCGCTTTGTCTGCTTCCCATCAGTTTTAATTTCATTAAGGGATCGCATGAATATTTCTAGTAGGCTAAAGCAGCAGTGAAATATGAAGCCATGGACCTGCAGCGATCAGAGAGATTTATGGCTCTTTTTCATCACATCAGGGAAGAGTAAAATTATTATTATTGCACCCTCAGATATAAGGTCCTGAAACCAGGGACTCTCCTCAAAGCTGCTCATTCGCTCCGTAATTACTTTCACAATTAAGTGGAACACATATGACAAATCGAAATAGTTTATATATTAATTAGACCTATCCATGGTAAATGTGTTCATTATGAAAAGGCAATTTAACGGGACCTTCACTGGCTCTTTCATTGCAATAGCCTAAATATTTTTGACCACAATGGCACAAATGGGCAGTGTGATGAAATGTGTATTGCACCGTTTTTAAACACATTTCGGGCTCATAATTTTTTTTAATCAATTTATTTTGTAGAGAACGGTTACAATAGCCTATCAAAAATCATTAGGCCTAAAGGAAATTTCTGCGCTTTAGATTTATGATTCTGAACATGGAACTTGAATATAATTCATTTTAAACTCATATAGGCTACAAGTCCTTGGCTGGCTATAGCCTATATATCGAAATTTGCGTTTTTATGTTTTTATCAGTTTGCTTTGATAACCTTTAGGCTATTATATCTTGCTTCACTGACCAAACAAGCCGAAAAGCCAGGTGTCACTCAACCGAGCATATACTGGTAGACTACACTAATGTGATGAACACACACAATTCAGTCAGTGGTGTAATTTAAAATGTGCTTTAAACGAGATGACCCACGAGTCCCCTCTCTCCGTGACACGAGCCCGTGATTGACGATGTCTCCATATGTCAGGCTAATTCAAATGAATTCATTTCATACCTGTCATAAGAACAGCAAAGAGTCAAAGATCTCGCTGTTTATTAAAACGAGTGCCCCACAAAACAAGCAGAGAACCGAGGAAATATTTTAAAAGCAATGTAGCCTACAACATAGGCTACCCTATTTATTAAATCAACAACCCTCATGATTTAATAAAGTAATAGGCTAATTGTGTAGCCTATATCTGCACATTTGGGCTTACATTATTTTAAAACAATTCAAAGCTACATTGTTGTCATCGATATAATTATTGTAAGTCTTTTGACCTCTCAAAACATAGGGGCCTATCCATTTTTTTAATGTAAGGAAAATGTGACAGTGTTGTGTTTCAGAAAAGCACATTTAGTTGCACAAATGAATTGCAGGTTGTCAATTTTTTTCTTCCTCTCTTTTTCATTACTTAAAAAAAAGGTGCAGTGAGGTGCATTTGGCCCTTGTTTCAATGTTCAATTATCAACGAACATCCTATGAGCTAAACTGCTTTTAGTCAATGAAACCAGCTGCCTGTTTTCTTATGAATAGCTATTTCAGCTTTTACATTTGTCTCTGACTGATGAATGATCAGTCTTGTTTTTGTAGGGCGTTTTATCATTTAATGACTGCAAAGTACAACACACATACCCTATAAACAGATTTAATGGTGAACTTTCAATTATTTTAGAAAAGAATTGACAAGTGTACTTTGGAGCCAGATATAAATATTTGCTCTGTGAATGTATAAATGAATTATTATGTATAACCCACATTTGTTTTTGAATATTTTCACAAAACATATTCTGGGTTTAAAAGAATATTGTACATGTAACTTGATGGAAGTAAGGATATAGGGCCTACATATTTAAGACAAATGTGAAGCAATGTATATACAAATATATTTGTGTATGTGTGTGTGTGTATACAGTATTTATGTGTGGCTATGTTTATGTGTATGTACTGTATATACAGTAGATACAGTATATGTACAATATATATATATATATATATATATATATATATATATATATATATATATATATATATATATATATATATATGCATATATATGGATACAATGATGCAGGGTATAGCTTAACAACACTTTTTACTTAAGAACAAGGCCTGAAAGGACTCTTGAGAAATTTAGCAATTAACCAGACTCAACAAAGAGTTATGGAGACATATAACTCAGGGAGTTGACGTAAATGTGTGACCCTTTTTTGACATCTTTCAAAATTAGAGACCTTTTGAGATGATGAGACCCCCATTTTGTATTCTGAAGCAGCTCCAGAAGACTTGCTGTAGTGGCTCGTTATACCCTTTTCAGGTCTAAAAGGCAGGATATGATCAATCAATAACTCATAAATCCCTCTATAACATATATGAGAAACTGAGAGGTTTCCTGTCTCGCTACTGCTGTCCAACAAGAATCTGATGCCAAGCAATGATTGTGAGACCTCTGCAATATTTAGGGGGGTCTGTGTGAAGTGCCAATGAGTATTTGTAAAGTAAGTTAGTTGGCTTCAAAGTTAGTTCTCCCTAAAACTGTAATTCTGTCATAATTTATTCACTCTCATTCCAAATTGACTTTTTTTTACCCCCTGTGAAACATAAAAGACATTTTGAAGAATGTTGACTTCCATTCTATGGAGAGGGAAAACAACAACAACAACAACAACAACAACAACAACAAAACATCATTTTTCTTTTTTTGTAAAATAAATGCACAGTAGGCCTACATTTTGGGTGTACTATGCATTTTAATGTTTCAAAACTTTATGTAAAATGGTTGCTTTTTGTTTTGCCATGTGTTTACCAATTCATTATTTACATGACTTACAAAGAAACCAATAAAGAAAGGTATTTTTATAATACTTTTTTAAGAATATATAATATAAACATCAACGTCTCGGTGATTAGATCCCTTTCACCATCCGCAACTGGTTTCCTTTTATTGCTGGGAATCATCCAGGAAGTAATAGTGACATTTTTCAAGTT